CTTCACCGCTCTCGCACTAGCATTACATAGGGATCGGTAGAGATGAGCTAGGCAAGCAGATGCCCAGCTCAGGTTTCCCATATCATCCCAACTACCAAGTATGATCATCAACCATGAATTGCTTATTAGGTTGTTGGATTTCTTGGGGAAGAAAACTCCTCCGATCATGCCGAGGATGTAGATACGTGCATAAATGTCTTTATCACGCTCCGAACTTTCCTCCGTGAGGGGAATGCCTCCGAACTCAGGGTTGTGCTTACGCCTGATCTCCGCTGTCAACCACGTGATGGATACTTGGCCCTTGGATAATGGTGGATGACCATCCGCATCGTGATCTCCCTTTTCTGGCGGACACAACCCGGTGGCCGTCCATATAAAATGTTGCCAACCACTCATATTGGCAACAACTTTAGGTGGTGGCGTAGAGTCCACACAAAAAACATCACCATCGATGGGAGATCGGTTAGGATGGCGATGTCCTTAAGTGTGATGGTGCACTCGCCTTCACGAAAATTGAAGCAGTGTGTCTCCTTTCGCCATCTCTCTACCATCGCCGTGATGAGTTGGCAGTCGATCTTGATTCCATTGAAATGCCTAATCGAATCCAATCTTGCCCTTTTTAGAAAGGGCAAGATGACGTCGTTCCATTCAAGCACATTCGTTGTGCCCCTATAGCGGACTATATGGTATGCATCCTAGAGAAGAATTTAAATTTCACTATAAGTTGATGATTTATACATATATAAATATATTATAAGATACAATTTATATATAAATGAAGGTTGTTTTAGAGAAATATACATTATCTAATTATATTTTAATTTTAACATAACTAAATAATATTATAAGATGCAATATTAACTAAATCAAGGTTCATTTAGAGAAATATACATATATAATAAACATCAATATTATCATAACTAAATAATATTAAAAGATGCAATATTAATTAAAGCAAGGTTGTTTTAGAGAAATATACATTATCTAATAAATATTAATATTAACATAACTAAAATAATATTTGAAATTTAAGTATAATTATTTTTTGTACACATACACAGAAAATCAAATATATTATTTTGTTAATCGTATTGATTATTTTCAATAATTTAAAGCAATACAAGTACACTCGTAAGACTCTTAGGAGAGGTATACATCTCCTTAGAAACACAGTCTTTTTGACAGAAAAAGGGGGGATCCGAGGATCGCTTAGAACCTGATTTTCCCAGGTCATGGGGGGATCATGATGATCGCTTAAGTCCCCATTTCCTTAGACATGCATTTCTTTATAAAGAGTCTAAATAAGTGTTGTATTGTATTGATTTAAATTATTGAAAATAATCAATACGATTAACAATTAAGTAAATTATTGTACAAACAAATAAATTACTTTTACAAAATACAAATTACAAGTGATGATAAATAATATGTACCTTGTGGTCGTTCCAAACGTCTCTTGAACGATGATTTGCTTGATCGTATAAAACTGTCGGATCAATCGGTCCTTGATCAACATAATATCGTTGATTGAAAATATCAACATCCGGCCCAACCTACGATAGCATAACAATAACATAAATCATTAGTATATAAATTAAATAAATCATTATAACAACAACAACAATTGGGAAAAATGAGTACGTACCGTTTGATAATCATCATCAAAAAGGCCCTCTTCTTGAGCGAAATCGGCCATTCTCTCGGAATCCGGACAGAGGTTCGACGGTTTTTTAGTGAAAACCAAAGAAAAAGTTTTTTGGAGGTAGATCGGACTTAGCCGCAACCAACAAAAAAACTAATTCTAAAGTTTTTGGGTGGGGAGGGGGGTGGGTAGAGAGAAGTTAGAGGGAGAGAGGGGGGGAGTGTGATTGGTGTGCAGAAAAATGAAGGGGAGGGGGGGGTTTATATAGCTGAGAAACCGCGTGGGGGAGGGTTGGTTCAGTCATTTTACCCCACCGAAAACCGCGCCTCCAGCACGCGGTTTGCGTTTCCCAACGGTCAAACCGCGCCTCGGGGGAGAGGTTTTCGTGGGCGACTCGGATCGCTGAGTTGGCACGCGTTTTGGCTGTCAGATCGCTCCTCCAACGGGCGGTTTGATGCACCGCCACGTGGCAACGCGGTTTGACAGCCATGCAAGGTCAAACCGCGCCTTGGAGGCGCATTTTGTTCTATAACCGCCGCCTGGAGGCGCGGTTTCATTAAAAACCGCTCATTAAATGCGCGATTTTATATAAACGATGGTATTTTTGGAAATTATTTGGTATGAGTGGTATTTTTGTAATTTTTTTTTAAACAGTGGTAGTTTTGGATTTTTTTCGACACTCGCATGTATACATACATTTTCCCACTTGCATATACATTGATCACACTAGTCGAAAGGAATGGCCTTCTTAAGCAAGTTATCTCATGATTGGAAGGAAAGTTTTAATCGTCATCAAGGTTTATTTTGTGAACATGCTAGTAGCTCATCTCGTCGTCTATCAAACTATGTATCAAAACTTTATGTTATTGACTACCAGTATCATATACCTGTACTGCAAATGAGTGTCCGAACAAATGCAATAAAAAATGTGATTCTATTCAAAAGTATTTTGGTGATTTGAAAGCATAAAAGCGTAAGTTTTAAAGCGTAATAATGACTACATTAGTTGGAAAATGCACGATTCTACATTAAAGACTTTTGATGACCTAGAAGCGTAAAAACGTAAGCTTTAAAACACTATTTTGACTATATTGCTCCAACGTACAATAGAAGTTATAGAACCCTAAGGCCCTGTTTACTTTCATTTCTGTTTCCTGTTTTTGAGAAAACAGATGTTGAAAACAGGCGAAAACGACATTTTTCGTTTTTGAAAACAGCAGGAAGCTGCCACTTTTTGTTTTCATAGTTGGAAACGAATAGAAAACAGAATAAAAAGTAAACATGTTTTCTCGTTTCGTTTGCCAAAGCATAACTAAACAATGCAATGTCTATATTTAAGATAGCGGATGTCATCATGAGATTCACAATCTAATAATCAATTTTTGTGACCAACAAGGACTTGGTCTAGTGGTAATACCACTAGCCTAGAATCTAGAGGTCGCAGGTTCGAATCTATTAAGTAGTACCTTAATGATAACAAAATAAAATCTATATCACCCTTATCCAAAAAAAATCAATTTTCAGTGGGACCAAAAGGATGTTGAACGAAGAGATCCGCGGTAATAATGAAAGGGACGGGCTCATTTGGAAGTCGAACGCAATTGGATGTTTCAATGTACGAGACGGCTATAGATAGTGGCTTGAAAAGTTCAAACAGGCTGAAGGAATCACGGTTACGGGGGAGGTGTGTATGTGGCCGGCCACTCTAACAAGCATATACATCGATGAATGAGTCAGAATCCTAAAGTCGTCCCTTTGTCCGACTCTCCTGTGTAGTCGACGGAGCGAACCTCATTCTCGAGTAGTCTTTGTTTCTCTTATAGTTGTGATGGTTGATGAACTTGTGGTGTTTGTCTTTGATGTCTATTTAATCAGATGAAGACATTTGATTATTTTTTAAATTTTATGTGTTGGAATTCGAATTTGGATTATGAATACCTGATGAATGATGTATTGTATATTTGTATTGATAGGGTTTCTTATAATTATTATCTTATGTTAAGAATGTAGAATTGTAGTTAAATTATTTTGGGTGATTATATTTTATTATTAGAAAGGAAATCAATAAATAATATAAATAACAAAAGAAAATATGACATGTGAGAGTTGTTATTGGGATAAATTGCAAGTTTGATCACTAGAATTACTTACAAAGTTTATGTTTGCCACTAAAATTAATTTATTTCATCCGTAGTCACTTAAATTAGTTCAACAATTCAAGTTTGATCACTCTCCGCTAGCCTCTGTTAAATTTTGTTGACGCAATCAACTCTAATAGTTGACCGTCAAATGAGTGATGTGATAATGAAAGAAATGAAAAATAATATTTTACTTTTCCACCTCATTATCAAAATTATTTAAAAAATAAAACTTAATTATCTAATTGAATCATCCTTACCCACCCCTTTTTACTGTTCAATCATGGCCTGGTTTCGGATAGGGGTGGCTATACGGTCCGGTCCGGTTAAATTGGACCAAATTGATCTGGTCCCAGTCCGGTCTTTTCGGGAATATAAGGACCAAAGATTGGATTGGATACACTCCGGTCTTGATCTGGTCCGGTCTTGACCCGGTCCGGTCCCAATTTGATTTTGATTTTAGATTGAGCTTGTGGGGATTTGAGTGTTGGGGTCTCTTATCTGGTCTTTATCCGGGTTTTTTTTACCTCAAATCTAAGACCGAATATAAGATTGGATTGTTTGCTATCCGGTCCCAGTCCGATCCCGGTCCGAGTTATACGGTCTGGTTTCGAGTAAAACCAAACAGTACTGAACCAAATTGCCAGCCCTAGTTTCGGAACCTGACTCGAACGTCTGCCAACGCCAAATCTTGGCCGCCTCCGCCTTTGCCACTCAGAACCATACCCGCCGCCGGGCGTGACTCTGTCGTAGGTCCGATCATAGAACTTCAATCCGCCGCAGAGGAGCAGATCTTCCAGCTCGAGAGCGGCAAACAAAAGCTTGGAGAAGGTCGAGAAGGGGATCTGATCCAACATGTTCCATTCGGCTGGATATCCACCGAAGACTTGAACGCCATCGCCTCCCGACGCTATTGGTTCTAGTTTGGCCGGTTGAGGTTGCAAAACCTGTCGCGCCGTGCCCTCTCCTTCTCTGCCTCCCGTTTCTTTGCCTCAACCTCCTCGTTGCGACGCTGTTTTCTCTCCCTTCCCTCTCCGACGACAGCAATGACAGTGGAGAAGTTTCTTTTTTTTTTTTTTGTGTGTGTGTTAGTTTTAATTCACGAGGGGAATGCTTTAGCGATCGCGCGATCTGAAATCCTGATCTGATTCTCCCTCGTCTCTTGGTCGTTCTTCCTCTGTTTTTCTCCACGAATTCTTCTATGTTTAGAGACCAAGAAAATGAGCGTAGTGAGCTCTACATTCCACGGGAGGGGTGAACGGCGGAGTGTGCTGGGGTCATGGGTTGGGTATGAGGCGTCGTCGATGGTTGGCGACGTCGCCGGCGAATCGGAGAAGATTCACGTCTCCATCAAGATGAGGCCGCTAAACGAGAAGGAAAAGGCGAAGAACGACGTTTCTGATTGGGAATGCATGCCCCATCGCTCCATGCTCCCTGCCGCCTTCACATTCGGTTAAACCCTAAAAAAAATCCATCCCCGATCTAAGCATTTCCAGTCTCCAATCCTCTTCCGTTAAGATTGAATTGAACGGTTTTTTCCCCGCTACAGATAGAGTGTTCGGCGGACTCCGGCACGAAGCCAGTCTACGAGGAAGCGGCGAAGAAAGTCGCTCTCTCCATCGTCAGCGGCGTCAATGGTAAGAGTTCCAAGCTACGGCACTCTTCTCTTCCATTATTGTAAAAAGGGGTGGGTAGGGATGATTCAATTAGATAATTAGGTTGTATCTTTTTATTTTTTAATTTTTTTTTTTTTGGTGAGATATTTTTTAATAATTTTAATAATGAGGTAGAAAAGTAAAATTTTATTTTTTATTAAATTTTTATTTTTTTCATTGTCACTTATTTGACGGTCAACTATTAGAGTTGACTTCCACGTCATCAAATTTAACGGAGATTAACGAAGAGTGACCAAACTTGAACTGTTGAACTAATTTAAGTGACTATGGATGAAATATATTAATTTTATGGCAAACATGAACTTTGTAAGTAATTCTAGTGACCAAACTTGCAATTTACCCGTTGTTATTGATTAACCACCAAACTAACTGTTGGGACTTTTTAATTGATATGATCCAAATCCGAAGATAACCCTCGAACTCGGATTATAAGACCAAAGTACGCAGCTCCAACGATCTTTTCTTGATTTTCTTGAAAACGATCTTTTCTTGATTTTCTTGATTCTTTGATTTTCTTAATTATCTTGACTTTCTTGATTTTCTTGATGCCGCCTTTCTTGAACTCAAAAATACAGATACTTGCGGAATCGATCAAACAAATCCGAACTCGTGAGAAGGGCCAGAAGGTATATGAAACCTTCCAAACAATCTCGAACCCGTGGAAGAGGCCAATCGATATCGTCGATGCTCGCCACAACTAGACGCGTTCTCTAGTTGATAAGAGACTACTCAAACCTCCCGAATCCTCAAAGGAGCGAATAAGCAAAACGTTCACTTGAACTTGTAAACACTTGTATTTGATTGCTGAAACTTGAATATTGGGTACCAAATTCGTAGCTCTTACATCCTCTATTTATAGAGGTCATGAAAACATAAATCTAACCTAAAAGGAATAGGAAAACAAATCCCAAACTAACTAGGAAACATAATACTACTTAAATAAGGACTATAACTCGTTTTTATGACCAAAGGAAGCTCCTTAGCAGCTAAGTAATCTCCAAACACGTTTTTAATGCTTAAGGAAGCTCCTTAGTGGTTAAGCAATCTCTTTCCTTGCCCTTTTCACATTTGGACGACTTGGGCAGCAAGGATGGACGTTTTGGTCTCCAAAAAATGTTGTAGACCCGATCCTTAATGCATTCTCCATTTTATCCATCAAGAATGCTCCTAGTTGATCCTTAAATCGTCGAATATGAATCTTCATTTTTGGACCACGGGAATTAAATATCGCGCTAGTTGATATCACATCATTAATGGTGTGAATGGAAATGAAAGGGGAAAGATCCAAGAGAATCTCTTGAAGTTTCATGTTGGTAAGATGTGGGAAGGCACGATCGCGAATTCGGTCGATTTGATGTAATATGTTGGTAATCGGTGCTATTGGTTTATGTAACCAACTGGACCAAACCGAGTTGAACCAAATCGAACCAAACCAATGTGGCGGTTGGAATAACCAAACCGGTCCAACTACAATGGGCCGAACTGATGCAATGGTTTATTATTTTAAAATGAACCAATGTGTTGGTTGGGGTGTAACCACCCATATGAAGAGTCGCCTCCCTTCGTAAGCAGTAAGCACCCCTTCATTTTCTATAAATAGCACCATACCCCCTCTAGTTTGACGACGAGAGATATACGTTTTCCGGTACCAAAACTCTGCTAAAATCCGAAACTAGTTTTCTGCATTTTTTTCAAAGAGAAAATCGAGTCAAGTGTGGTTCTCGCCGGTTCGCTGCGTTTGATGGTTTCTGGGGTTTGAGGTACCGCTATTCTGAAAAATGTACGTCCTTTCTATCTTGGGACGAATCATTCCATAACCTCGGGTACTAGAGGGGAATAAGATTTCTTAAGTAGAGACAGTGAATTATGTCGGCTAGGACGTTTGCATATGTATTTGCATGATTTCGTGATCTTATATATTTCTTGTGCTGATTACATGATCTTATTTGTTACTTGCGTTGGAAGAATTAGTATACGTGAACAATTTTCACAACACTGACAACTAATTGAACTAATAATAAGTTTCAACTGATAAGAATTTATTGATTCGGTTATCGCTAAACTTTTTAGCAAAACCAGAAACCGAACATGTTAGCACCCAGAAAGTAACATAAGATCAAACAAATCACAAAAGTAACATAGGTAAAGACTTTCTTTTTATAATTAGATAAAGGCATATTTGGTTATAGCATTACTCAGAAATTCTGTTGACAGCATTGCTATACATAAATTGGTCTCGTGTAACTAGACAACTAGAGCACACCAAACAGTAAAGTGCTTCAGGCCAAGTATCTCACAATTCAAAAGACAAAAAAAAAACCCTATTATCCCTCATTTGATGGAGACCAAACTTTCTTTGTAAATATAGCAGTAGTTGAGGTGCCAGCAATTAGGTATCAGAACCTTACATTCTTGAGCACCAATCTCACATAAGACCAACTTATTCTTGGGCCGAAACTGGTGACAAATAAACTGACCATTCTTCCAATATCTTTTCACATACGATCTTTCCAATACAGGGCCAAGGTTGGATTGCTTGATCCAACACCACTGCCCGCCACTCTCACTCAGCAACCACACATCGACACTTGAACCGAACAACGGCCCCCTAAACAGAGCAATCGAATCGCGATATACGCTTAGGCTACCAATCGAATTACCACAAAGAGGGCATTCGATTCTGTGGAAAACATCGCTCCCCATATCGAATGCGACCACGTATTCGTTCTGCTCAACGAGCCAGTAGAAGAAGCCCTCGAAGTAAGTATGACAAGTGACTAGGTTCTTTCCTTCCCAACACGGGCAGCTCTCTTCTAACTCCCTCCAGCAGTTGCTGCGCAATGTGTACAGAAAAACCGGTGAGCGAAAGGCATAGAGACCTGCGGCATCATTGTACACATAATTACGAATCAGAACGACCTTGATATCATTCTCGACCGAATCTATCCCAACTCCACAGTGATCAGAGGAATGTGTTAAGTAAGGAGGTGCCAAAGGAGGGTCGGGAAGGTGCCTGGTTTCGCGAGTCGCTGGGTTCCATAGAGAGTAACCAGGATGCAATGCCCCTCGATTGCCGAGAAGAAACAGACCGTGGCCTGTGCCGCAGATGACCCTCTGAAGCGAGCTTTGGTCCAATTGAATCGGTCGTTGGCCATCGGGGCAGAGTGAAACCGATCGAGGGTTTACAGAGAACCAGCGGTCATCTTCATGGTCGTAGTTGCATACGAGCGAGGCCTTGGTGGCGGGGTTGTGGGTGTAGTTTTTGAGGTGCAAGGAAACAAGGTCTGGATTGGTTGGAATCATGGCGTCCCAAATCTTGCAGAGGGATTTCAACCGGAAGAGGGTTTTCACGGGTAGCCGAGACAGAATCCCAATCACTACATCGAAAGGCAAATAATTCGATTCTTCGGTAGAGGAATTGGGTACCTGTTGGAGCTTGATGCGGCAGTTGCAGTCCATGGCGGCGGAGCGCATTGGCAAAGGAGAACGAAGCTCGTCTCCCAGCGCCCGGGAGATTGATCCGTCGCATCCAATTACTTCTGGAATTCCGTTTCCCGGGGTGATTTAACTACATAGTCCATAATCTTTATTGGGCCTGAAAGAGGGAATGAACAATCATTTGGGCTGACAATGAGTAATGTCGGATCTATATGGCTTTTGGGCCTAATTAGTGACAAACCAAGGAAGGTCTCCCGACAACTGGGGTTTCTCTTGATGCGAAAATCGTTGAATAGGAATTAGGAACGAACACGAAAGAAGAGAGACTGAACACAAGAGCAGAGTTCTGCAAAATGCTTTCTCTCTCGATAACAACAAACTCCATTCAAAATCCACAATCCATCATTCTGCTATGAAATGCGCACCGCAAAATAGAGAGAGGCACTTGCCACAGAAGTGAAAACTTCACGACGCAGAGTGTTCAAGATTACGTCTACTACACTGATTGAGGAAACATTTTTGTTCGGAGGCTCAGAGCTTCGTTTCAGGAAGTTATTCCACTTCCGCAAGATAATCATCGATCTCGGCTGGGGTCAGAACCCTGCAACAAAGTAGTTAACAATTTCAAAAGTAAGCTCAGCGGTTCATGTCACCAGTGGTACTAATACCATAATCTGAATTTCAAGCTTTGGTGTGAAGAAATAAACACTAGAAGCATGCGTACTTGAATTTCCTGTCTTCTCCAATGGTGGCAATCTCAATGTTCTTCCCTGAAATCTGTCCCTCAAAACTGCATGACATTTTTTAAACAAAAATAAAAACCAGGTGAGAGCGGGCGCAAGTGTGCAACTGATTCAACATGTTATGACAAACTGCGACCTTCGAGGTATAATTTCGCTTCAAAAGTAAACTTAATGGCTATACAATGCAATTAAAATGTATACTCAAACCATTTGTAAAATGGATCCAACGGTTATAGCAATGTGATCCTCGTCACAATTATTACAATATTAGAAAGCTACCATGGTTTGCACAGACAAACACAATGTCGAAGTTGTAGGCAAGGAAAATTCAAAGATTGAGCAAAGTGGAAGAAAAGAAAGTATGGCTTACCCTTCCTTCAAAGTTAAGATAGCAGTGTGGACAGCATCTTCAAGCTCCACATCATCAGTATACCTACATAGAAAAATGAAAGTGATGAGAAACAAGAATGTAAGCAACAACAGGAAATTTAATCAGTAAAAAATGGGGTAGTTAGATGGACATAATAAGACCAAACCATAGTGCAATGAAGACACATAAACAGATTGCAGTGTAGTAACATAGGCAACAGCGGCAGAGTAAATATAACAGTATACTTGGCTTACAAGGTTCCATATTCATGAATAATCTGAACCCGATGAGGGAAGATCTTATATTTGCTTACCAAGTTAAAGCCAGCTCAAATGAAAACCAAACAACAACCAATAATAGCCAAATAAAATGAGAATATAATCACATAAAACAAGTACCTCTTCTCAAGGAATGTCTTGGCGTTTGAGACATTCTTCCCCATTGCTGAGGCCTTCCATGAAAAATAGGAACCTGAAGGATCCACCTGACAACGATACAATAGAAGATAAACATAAACGATCTAGTAACTCCAAATTTCAGATTAAGTATATCAGAAAATGATAGCACTGCAGGGAGTCTCTCTAGTTCTTCAACGCAGAGGAAATCAGGAAAAGCTTTTACCAAAATTGTCAAATATATAAATAGAGGAAGAGTGATGCATATCCAAAGTCCAAACACTAAGCACAGACATCTACTGTCCGGTTACAAACAGATATACATAACATCACGTCCATAGAAACATGTCCCGTAGTCATTTTACCTAATACAGTTGTGAACTTCCATAATCACAGGCATCTACTATCTGGTCACACACAGAATACATTACATAACTTCCCTAGAATCATGTTGCAGTAATTTACCTGATACAGTTGTGGACCTTTGTCATCATAACCAGCAACCAGAAGAGATACACCAAAAGGTCTCACGCCTCTGAATAGAAGACAAAAATATGGAAGGGGTCAAACACCAAAGGAATAGAAAAGAGCAAAATCCATTTTGCTATTATAAATCCTGGCAGCACAGGTAAGTGTTATTACCCAGATTGAGTAAACTCCTGCATGACAGCGGCAGTTTCCCTCACAAGTTGTGTAACGGGAATTTGTTCCTACAGCCACAAAAAATTGTTGATACTATATATAAAAAGGAACATAAATAACTACGCTCGTAGTTATCATTATGAAAATGTAGCACATCAACCCTCTAGCTCAATAAATATGGTCACACATTTCTCCATTTGTAGAGCAGTCAGGTTAAGAATTAACCCACCAAAATAAGGACCATGGAAACGCCATTATCAATCTAATACCAGAATCTCCTTAAATCCTGAGCATGAAGGGTAAATATCTCACTGATTTTAGATGATCACACAATGATCAAAGAATCATACAATTAATGACAAAGGACCAAGTCATTCATGTGACACCAGTTAGGAAGGGAGAAATGTTGATGACAAAACAAAAATGATCCACCCTATTCAAAACTGGAGCATATTGGAACACAAAATAATATTGAAAATCAAGATGAAGTTCAGCCTGCTTCCTGATTTAACCTGCAGCTAGTACCTTGTATAATCTGTGATATTGTTCAGCCTGCTTCCTGCTTTTCCGAACCAAAACTCGAAAATCAGGACCCATGCCACTGCAGATGAAACAAGATTGTTGATACTTGAGGACTATAAAAAGAGGGAAATAGAATACAATTTACAATTCAATCAGTTTCTGTGGAACTGAGGCACATACAGATGAAAGCTCAAAGGCAACTATCAAGGCTTATCAGCTAAAGAGTGGAAGGTCCCAAATTTTATAAATTCGCTAATTCAGCCATGATTGACACACAATAAGCTAAAAAGACTAAACTTATTCACAAAGAAGTGGGAAGAAAACAAACCTGTAGACAACTCCAATATTTGGGGTTAGAGATTGTATTTTCTGGACCTGAAACAAAATGCAGATTAATTAGGACAGGCAGGCAATGTCCTTGTCATAAGAAACCGAATCAATCAGATCTCAAAACCAATGAGACATGAGAAGTACAAGACAGCAGTACAGTCACTAAGACAAATTCATATGTATCAATTCTCCTGACGTACTACTAAAAAAGCCAAGGAAAGAGAAGTATGCGCAGTAAGCGTAAATTGAATGGAAGAAACGAGTTAGTCACTTACTGATGCTTCGTCAACCAGTATGGAAGGTAGCTTCTTCTCAGTAGCGATAACAACCCCATTTGAAGCTGTAGCAACAATAAGGCGATTCAAATCAATTGCAATGTAATGGAATTTAGAACTAAATAATTTTCCGTTTCTACTAGGTTCAGCTGAAGTTTCAGAATTCAGCGGGCTGTGTGATAACAAGCCGAACCTTTGATTCCGAGAGAGGTTTGGCCAGAGCCCACGGCGGTCAAGGCGTGCTCGATCTGAACGAGCTTCCCAGAAGGACTGCCCGAATTGAGATAAGCAAATAAATCATTCCAACAAAACTCAAAATCAATAGCAAGTATACTTACAGAAAAGGCGATTGAAGAATCGCTCACCTGAAAGTAGTGAGAGAAAACGAGTACTGCGAGTCACCCATTTGTCAACAACTGCACAGATTCATCACAAAGTTAAAACCCTAAATCGGAGCGAGCAAATACTTCCACCAAAATCAAATTTACGGGGCAAGGACGAACAGACTCGGACGAAAGAACTCGAACGAACTCACCTGGGAAACACTTTTCCGGCGACGAGTGACGAAGCGTAAAGAATTGGTCCGCTTGAGATGGTTATTCGTCGTAGGGATCTTCCTAAACTCTCCGAGTTTCTTTCAAGTGTTTGATTACTTCATTTTCTTTATTTCAAATAGCTGTGGTTTTTTTCTTGAGGAAGAAGAAGGCGACCGACTGTGTATTTTCTCAGGGTTAGTATCTTGGGTTGGGCCCAAATTATAAAGGCTTTTAAACTGTCTAGTTCTCTCTATCCCAAAACTAGACTCCAATCAATTGAAGTTTCTGGGCTGCTTGAAATGGTTATAGAGTAACTTGTTGGGCTATTGGCCCACAGGCTAAGAGCAATGTTGTACAAAGTTCAAATAAGCGCTCCTAAGTATAAATAAATTGGGTAAATTGCAAGTTTGGTAATTAGAATTAGGCCAAATTCACTTGTATAGTCAAAACTTTGACGTTTTTGCCAAATATAGCCATTTTTGGAGAAATATCAGAAATAGCCACTTACGTCCAATTGTTTGACGGTGTTAGTTAACGTGCTGAATGGACAAACGGACCATCCAACGTGGCTTTTTTCGTCAAACAAGTGAATTCCACGTGGAATAAAAAAAAAAGACGAAACAGTAAATGTGTTGTCACGCCTCAGCCACTTTCTATCTTTTTCATTTTCCCTTCCCTTTCCCCGAGTCGATATCCAGAGAAAACCCCTCTTCTCCGACGACAAACTACGACGCTCCCCCACTCCAGATCGGCGTTGGTAGTCGTCGACGACGAAAGCCTTTCCGATCCACGAACCCACCACGAGAAGCAAAACCCCTTTCCTCCTTTCCGATTCACGAACCCTAAATCCTTTCTGAGCCTCCCTCCATCGAATCGGCCATGCATCGCGGGGTTTCATAGATCCTCTGCACGTTCCGGCGACGCGATTCACTGTTGGTGAGGGGGAATCGATCATCGAGTACCAGTTCAACCCATTTGAATCCCAATCCAGTTCCAATCGCCTATGCTCGCTCCCTCAGGTCGATCAATCGACGGTCATCAGCTTCCTCCCGTCACTGCAAATAGCAGAGCAACCACCCAGCTTCCCCATCCAGGAGATTTAGTCGATCCGTGAGAATCGACATCGTCACCGCTCACCGACGAGAAAGACCCAACAAATAGTAGAGGTGACTCGTCGCAGGCAGGAACTTCCTTCAGCGATTCCAGATTTTGAATTTCGGTAGTGACCTTGTGGGTCTGGCAGTGGCAGGGCATTTGGGAGTGGGTTTCGCGGAGGAAGCGGAAGCCGCCGTGGGAGGAAGGCGAACCCACCTTGGGAGGAGCTGTGCTGGAACTATTATGTTTCCTATGGATTGGCTGGAGGGGAATCGAGATGAAGCAAGCGGAGCTCTCGAAGGCGGCGGCTCTCAAGGATCTCCTCCACCCGTCACTAGTCGACTGGTCGTCGCTTCAATCGAAGCTGCCGCTAGGAGTGAGATTCTGAGAACTGGGGGAAAACGGTTGTTGCCGGACGGGTTTGAGAGTAACTAGATTGGAGGGATGGATTTTGTAGGCGACGGCGAGTGCAGTGCGGCGGAGCTGGGTTCGTCGACGAGTGCGGTGGGGCTGCTTCAATCGGCGGAGCTTGGTTCGTCGAGGAGAGCGGCTGGGAAACCCTAAATCGGATGGAATTGGGGAAAGGAAAGAATAACATTTCCAATTCTATTCACCTAATTTATGATAATTTTTTTTACCCATTAAAAATGACGTGGCATTCCACCTGTCAATGGATGCTGAGGTGGGAAGGAAAGACACGGTGAGGTGGCAGCCACATCATGTGTCCGTTAAATAGACTAACGGTGTCATTGACGCCGTCAAACTATGTAATGAAAAAGGCTATATTTGTCATCGAACTTTCAAAATTCTAGCTATTTCTGGTATTTCTCCAAAAGTGGCTATATTTGTCACAAACGTCAAAGTTTTGGCTATGCAAGTGAATTTGGCCTTAGAATTACTATAAAATTTCACGTTTGCCATTGATATTAATTTATTTCATCCGTAGTCACTCAAATTAGTTACATAGTCCAAGTTTGGTCACTGGCCGTTAGTCTCCGTTAACTTTTGCTGAGGTGGCAGTCAACTCTCATAGTTAACTGTTAAATAGGTGACGTGGCAATTAAAAAATAAATAAAAATGTAATTTATTAAAAAGTCCACCTCATTATCATAATAATTAAAGAATAAATAAAACATAAAATTATCAAAATAAAAATTTTCTTCGCCAATCCCATCGTTGTCTACCTTGATGTGCCTTCGCCGATGATTACCGCTCTTCGGCGATCCTAACTAGAACCACATTGAATTCATAATCCCTAGCAGCTAGCACTCACCACCCTGCCATCGGTGCCTCTACAATAGCTCATCTATTACCCGAACTGTAAAAGAGGCGGCAACTTCGATTCGCAAAAAAGCAACCAAGTCATGGCAAGCATCGACGCAGAATCAGCCCGCCGGAATTCGGGGTTGGGAACAGAGCAATAGTGTGGGCGGCTCTAGGGAAGGCGGATCTCCAGCTGGTCGTAGTCGGATTCGTTAGTTATCAAACAAATAGGTGAGAATTGGATCTAATTCAAAGAAATCAAGAACTAAAAAGATAAGAAGGCATACCTAATCATTTTCTGGTGAGAACATCGAAGAATGAATTGAATTGGTTACTCCAGCCAATCGTGCAAAGTGAAGCAAAGTTCATGAAGCAGCAAGAAGACAAAAGTAGTGGAGAGGAGTGGAGGAAATCCGGGGTAACTGATGCCAGGTGAGGAAGAGGCGTCGCCTTCGATGGTAGTAGCCCCACTGAAGAAGATGAGGCGAGGACCATGAGTCTTGGTAGCTGCGACGACGATTAAGGTGTCCTAGTAGGTTTCTAAAGAACGATAGGCAGGAGCCGATATAACCACGGCTTGGAACCCATTGTTGCAGGCAAAGCTAGCAAAGGGGTGAGGGAGGAAGAAGGGAAAGCGAAGATCAGTGAGAAAGTTTTTCGATCGGGAGTGGGACCATTTGAGAAACTTTAGCTTAGCTTGGAAGTCGACGGAAGTGGACTTATGGGAGCTTTATAATGAGGTGGAATTTTTAATTTATTTAATTATTTATTTTTTAATTGCCACATCACCTATTTAACGATCAACTATTGAGCGTTGACTGCCACCTCAGTAAAAATTAACAGAGACTAACGGCCAGTGACCAAACTTGGACTGTTAACTAATTTGAGTGACTACGGATGAAATAAATTAATTTTAGTGGCAAACGTGAACTTTTATAGTAATCCTAGTGACCAAACTTGCAATTTACCCTAAATAAATTTATCAAGATAAGCCGACAAAACATGGCTGAACAACTCAAATACATTATTGACAAGAATCATAAGTATAAGTCCTTATGCAACCCAACTAGATATGAAAGAGGTGGGTCATTTTTTGACCTTGTGACCCTTAGATATGAAATTCCACATACAAATACATTCGACTTGTTTGTAAAATTTTAAAAGTTTGGGTACTACATTGTAAAAATAACTAAATTTGGGTACCAAAATGTAATTTTACCATCAAATTTTAAGGACTTATTTGTAAAAAAAATTAGGTACTAATTGTAAAAAAATAATTTTCGGTACCAAAATGTAATTTGTTAAAAATTAGTGTGTTGATAAGGGTTGACCAGACCCTCCTTGACCCGCCCTGACTCTAGAAGGTCAGACAGGGTCAAGAAGGAAATAGGGGTGGGTCGGGTCAGTTACACATCTTAATCCTTCCTGGGTGGGTCAGACAGGGTCAGGGCAGGTTCTGGTGCGGGTTAGGGTAATTTTCAGTCCTAGTAAAAAATGTAAATCCAGTAACCCACATGCTAAGATCAAGCTAATGAAGTAGTAGTGTTAATGTGGGATAAAATAATTCGGGTGTCACTTAAGTTTGAGAATTGGGGTAGACATACCACTTAATAGTAAACTTAAATGGTACCGGGTGCACATATAGTTCAGTGGTACCTGACGCCCTATTCAAACTTAAGTGGTATGCCTATCCTAATTATCAAACTTAAATGGTAAGTGAAGTATTCTACTATGTCAATGTGGTACTTCGATATGGTGCAAGCATGCACGTGGTACAATAGTGTAGTTGACTTTTCAGTTTCATTGAGGAAAATCCAATTTGAATAACAATATTCTAATCGAAAAGTCAAACAATGAAACAAATAATAATTCATCAAAACATTCATATTCACGGGAGTTTGACTTTTTTTCACCCACAAATAACTGGACTATAGCATAGAAACGCATTGGAAAATTGCACAAGTCAATAACTATACGTTATATTTTATTAGCACATTACGTTGACAATGGAAAGTTGCTATGAGAAAACTATAACAATAGTCCACAAATGCATAATGCATGTATGCGGCTTATGAGTCTTTTGACCACATATACAGCATGAATATTTATATATTACCTTGTGTTATGTTGATGTTACTCGAATATTAAGTTTAAACGATATCATTTGTGTTTGTTGGCAAGTCATGGAACTCAAATGATGGACTCGCCACTAATTTGAGAATGACTCGTGAAATTAAATTACTCGTCTTTTTTTGTTTATTTGTAAATGAGTCTTTTTCGTAAGTGAGTTTTTCAACCAAAATATAATTTAATACAAAATAACTAATTCAAATATACTACGCAACAACCCTTAATGTTACTGGGCAGCTGGAAATCCCAAACAAATATGGTGCGACTAGTTCAAAGTTGAATGAATTCATCAACAAAAAGATCCTCAAAGGGAGGCCATGGCTCCAAAATGCGGCAGCATCTTCCTGGGTTTAGGATGGACGTACCAAGAAATCAATAGTAATAATAAACTCTTAATTGACTGCCGTTTGAGCCTATCAGTCACTTTCAAAATAAAAGATTAAGCTTTATAAAAAAAAAAAAAGATTAAGCAAGGAAAATAATAATAGTATATTATTAGTGTGTTATGATGAATCGTGTTTGCAGATACCAGCTGGAGTACACTATTATAAATAAATGATGAAACCAAGAAAATATATTTTTTTTTAAAAATTGATGCTGGAAGAGGCAGGAGATTCCTATCAAAACTTAATTCTTCCAACAAAATACAAAAGTTTATTTTAAAATTTATTTTATGTGAAGTGTTATTTACTTATTTTACAACTGCTGGCAACAACTGTTAAACTGTCATAACATCTAGAAGTATTATTTTGTTCATTGTAAGCATTTAAATTTATGTAATCGAGACACTTGCAAAATAAAATCATAACATCTAGAGGTTCATAAACTAGTCAATCTCCCTTATGATCAGTGTAGTCAAAATCGTGCATTAAAACGTAAAAACTTACGTTTTTACGTATTCAGGCCACCAAAACGTTTCAATTTCTACCTAAAATCGCTTAGTCACAAAAACTGGTAAAAACATTGGTAAAATCGATAAAATCGCTTAAAATCAGTAAAATCGCGATTCTGAAGCGTTTTTATATGATTTTGATCATCTCATTAAAATGTGCTAATTGGCCAAAAATGATGTAATTTTGGAGACATATCAGCAAAAAATAAAATAAAAAAGAAAACATGATTCATCACTCTTTCTACAGCTAGTGTCCAAATAAGAGGCTTCACGTTAGGTTGAAAAGACACCTAATGGTATTCTCAAATCTGAACAGCCGCTGACCTTTTATCAGTCTTCTCCTTTAATCTTCACCTGTGGCTCTTTCCTGGGTTACGATGAAACTTTATGGGTAATTGATCGTATGTAATTATGTAAACTCAAACCAACTTATGAGAATTTGAATTCTCAAGCTCGTTTACGGGTTACGATCTACGTTTATGAGCTTATTATTAAGATGCAATGAGTTTTCTCTACTTATGAGTCAACGCAAATTAGTTTATGTGTTAGATATTACATTTTAATTATGAATTTCATGTAGTTATCCACTTATCTAAAATCTACACACTCACATTTTACATACTATATGTTGTACTTAATCTATTTTAGCTATTTTAGAAGGTGTGTCAAAAACTTACGATTTTACGTTTTGATTATACGTCTTACGATTTTACCCATTTTCCGCTTCTAGGTAGAATCGCGCTTTTAACTGCATTGCTTATGATAATCTAACATGTAGAGGTTGAAATCGAAGAGTAGTATGTCAGGCAAACTCTTTGTGGCCGACATTGATCAATGTTGTGGATGGAGTTGGATCCAATGGATTCGATGTTGCTCTCTTTAGCTATTGGTGCCCTGCTATCATGTGAACTTGTTCAATAATATTTTGGATATGCTAAAACAAGTGACAAATCATAATGAACCTGGCTTAGCAATCTCGAAAACTACTTCGAAATTGTGTTCATTATGATGTTTTCATATGCACAAGGTGATAAATCATAGTGAAACTTGTTCTTACATGCTTGGTAGTGTTGCTCACAAAGATAGACATGTTGTCTTGAGAGAGCACAACATTAACCTCACTAGACAATATTCAAATCAACCACACATCACTGGTGAAAGGGTAGCCACGAGCCATTTAGATCGCTGTACAGCTCGCTCTACAGATAGGGCAATGGGTTATCACAACCATATGGCGAGGTCTCGTCTAGCGCTCGATGACATATGGTCATGGCACATCCAACAAATGAATACTTTAAATTCACAACAGACTTTTGTTCGTCTTGCCGCCAATTTGTCTTCGGTTTTGGGCTCAATCACTAAGGAATAGTACGATATGATCGAGAATGTTCCACTTTAGATCTAACGCCCACGTTCAAGCGCCTTCCTCTCCTCCAACACCTACGGTTACGCTTCCAATGCAGCATGAGACATTGTGCTTCAAAGATGGACTAGGACACAAATGAACTAAGCAAAACACACCATTAAGCCAATTCTTGATAGAGAATCATATCGTTTCACTACTACTCATATTTTAAATGACTTCATAGTCGAGACGATTCTTAACAATAACACCTATCTCTATCAAAGATTAATCAAACGAATTATCGAAATACATAATGCCCTCTTATGATCACATATACACCACAGAATTTCAATGCTCTAACGAACAAGAATTTTCTATTAAAAACCAATAAGAATTTAAAACTTCCTTGAAATATTCAATTAGGATGATGATGATGATAATGTCGTCTAAACTATATTTTCTTTGTAGTTATCTCTTATCACCATCCACCATTTTATTTAATTAATTTCACTTTAACTATTTTGATAATCCCTGTAGGACCCATGTTTGGGGGAAAAAAAGGAGTAAATCCTAAATCACTTTTTTTTTAGACGAGGAGGCGGAATGCACACGACATTCACATGCTTAACGAAAACTCATTTTCTTGCAAAATTTAATTTCCAGTTCGTTTCAAACAATTTTGTCTCTCTCCCACCGCCACTTCCTCTGTTGTTTTGCCTTTCCCCTATTTTGGTCGCCTTCCCTTCCCCTTTCTCTCTATATCACAGTGCTTTGGTCTGTGTAAAAGGGCTGATCTTTGGTTCTCTTTCTTCTACCCTTTTATTGATTCAGGTACCCTCCTATCTCCACTCTCCTTTTTCTTCTGCTTCTGTTTCTCTGATTTGGTAGATTTTGTGGTAGCTTCCTGGATTTCTCAATCTTTTTTCTCAGTCTTTGTTCCATTTAATCCTTGCTATTTCTGGCTTGGTTATGATATTTTATTTCTGGTGTTTCAATTAATTTGGTTAGAAAGATGATTTGAATCTCAGTTCTTTGAATCCCTCATTGTTTTGTGGTTTGGCACTGTCTGGCTATAGTGGGTTGTTCTTAATTTCCTCCGAAGTTTGAGGATTTGCATGCATGGTGTGTTGAGGGGCAGATCTAGGTGTTCTTGGTTTGGTTGCTTGTTAAGAAATATGTGAGGAAGAAGAAGATATTGTAAAATGAAATTCTGGGTGCTGCTGACTGGTCAATTATTTATTTGTGTTAAATTTCTGGGGAAATCTGGTTTCTTTCTTCCACAGAACAACTGAGCTCTTGATTATGCTGTTATGAGTTTGGTCAGCTCTTCTTTTCTCTTTGTTTTTTCTTTGTGGTGTTCAGAACTTGTTGTGATTATAGGAAATTGGAAAGACCAGTTTTGTTTTGTATTTTATTACAGTTTTTTACTAGATTTAGGTGTCTCTGTGTGGTTTGGGGCTTAGATCTGAGTAAAAGGTGCAGAAGTTTCGGGGAAAGAGGCTGCTTTAAAATGTGGATGGGTTTGTTTGATTTGTTAAATTGCTTGAATATTGCATCATTCGATCTGTCTGTCTGTTGAATCCTTGTTTTTATCAACCGAAGTTGTCTTGAGCTTTGTTGTGTATTTACCATCTTATGAACAAATCTGATGTCATTCCAAGCACTGTGAATGAATGAATTAACAAAGGCGAGTTCTCAAACTTGATTCGGTTTACCGAGTAAGATGTACCTATATCAAGTTATCAACCTAAATTTACCTTACTAGTTCTGTTAGTTTTTTCGAGGTATGAGTAATTTACTCCGAACTATTTGACGAGTCTGAGTCTGTGGCTACTATGCTTGGCATCAGTGGGGTTTCTTATAGCTCGTGTTTAAACTGAGCTTATCTTTCTCAGGCTTGTTCACGTTTCATGATATCAAGTTTTGTGCTCACAGGTTGTTCGCCCAGTTGCTCTTTTGTGCTGGTATCTAGTGTGACAAGTGCTGTTAACCATCATCAGAGGTGAAAATCAGGGCAACTTTTTGTACTCTCCTGCTGTGAAAGGTGGCATATTCAATATCCAGAATATGGAGGACGAGAATGGACTTGAGCTCAGCTTGGGTCTAGGTTTTGGTGGATCCTCTTCCAAATCTAAGGGCAAAAGTGAAAGCTTCTTGGATATTAGGATAGAAGATGAGAAAGCAAACAAACCAAAAGACGATTTGAAAGTTCTTCTTAGCAGTAGCTCTCAGAAGCAGGACTCAAGCTCTGGATCTCATTCTCAGAGGAACGATTCGATAAAGCCACAAGAGAACTTCTTCCTTGACCTCAGTAGTAGAAATGCTGATGCTGATGCTGATGCATCCATTAGCCTTGGTGCTCGGGGTCTTTGGCCAGGATCTGGTAATAATAGATCCACAGAAATTGAAGAAGAGAAAAGGAGCGAAGGGATTGTTAACAAACGTAAACTAGATTTTGAGGACATAAGCGCTCAGAAGAAGCCGGAAAGAGATGCTAATCGGGTCGATTTTCATGACAAGCGAACATCTCAGGTTTCTCTAACGGAAGAAGGATCCACTGCTGAAAATGAAGTTGTAGCAGATTCCGAAGTCGAAGGTTCAACATCGAGGTTTGTTGGAGTTGGTGGTCCAGATGCTCCAAAGGAGTTTCAAAGGTTTCCTGACGTGAGTATCACGGAGTTGCATGGTCAAAGAAGGTCTATTGGTTTGCCTGAAAATGAATCTAAACACGGGATGAATTTTGGGGTCCCGTTTTCGGTCCAACCAGCAAACATCATGAGCATGTCCTACCAATATCCAATGAAAGATTCCAACCCAGTTGGTGCAAGTATGATGCCAGTAGTTCCTACTTCAAATGGCGACAAGCGAATGGCGGCCCACACAACGGATCAAGGTAGTTCATCGATAGCTTTCGGCTACTCGCCTGTGCAGCTTCCAACTATGGATAAAGATAATTCGTGGGGCTTGATTTCGCAGCCTCAACATTTTCTGCCTCGTGGAGCCAAACCACCTGCAACCTCGGATAATAAACACCACGAAGGACTCAGAATTTCTCAAGGTACTTTGATTTTAGCTGTTATTGTAGTTTTCCTCTATTATAGAAGAGCACTGAACAAGATGGTCTATTGTGAGATCGTTAAAATCAAGAAGACATGATCCATGCGCTTACAGCCATGCAATCGGCTGTCTCTGACTCCACTGTTTAAACTTACAGCCATGCAAATGATTGGACGCAACCCCTCCGATGCTGCACAATATGACGCAAGAGTGTTCGATCGGCCCATAGGTGATGGTGGCAAACAACACAGTGCAGATCAAGAGGGCTCCTCCTCCCAGGCCGAAGATGAAGGAAAGGGCAGCAGCAAAACAAACCGTCGAGCAGCACCAGAAGATGGGTTGTCTCATGACTTCTCGGCCATAAAACCAGGAATTTCTCCCGAGGTAAAGTTCGGAGGCTGTGGGTCCTACCCAAACCTACCATGGGTTTCCACCAAGGCTCCAGGCCCAAACGGCAGGACGATATCAGGCGTGACTTACAGGTTTAGCCCTAGCCAGATAAGGATCGTATGTGCTTGCCACGGTACACACATGTCCCCCGAGGGATTCATCCGCCATGCGAGCGACGAGAATGTCTCCACAGGAGATGGTAACAACGGTGGGTTAGCGTCGGCGTTTCCAGGTACCAACAACCCATCTGCTTCTGCTCATAGCTGAGAGTGTGTAATGAACAGACCGAACACGTTGTTGTTAACCACGGAGAAGTAGACGATAGGGTATCAGTTAAAGTAACCAGCTTTGTATACTGTTAGAGATCCCCATACTCCATTTTTGTTTTGGTTTCCTCCTTTCTTTGCTTGCTGCGTCATTTTGAATTGTTGTGGTGTTGATATTGTTGTTGTGATGGATACTCATCTGTCTGTTACTTGTTGCTGCAACGAGTGTGTTGCGGGTTTGTGCTGTTCTCTAATCGACATTGGTAAACGTTGTGGCTATCGTGACACGTAACGAAACTCGGAAGCATGATTACCATGTCGTCACAGGTTTTTGCAACTGAGCTAGGTCCAGGTTGGCAAATGGCTGTTAGCAGCACATTGTGTTTCCATTTCGTTGCACAGGATTCGAGCAGGAGAAAACGAGATATGTATGTTACGTTGGTAAGTCTTGTTTCATCTTTACGTTTATACACAGTGAGTTTAGGGTTACTGTGTCGCTGATATTCTGCTACTTCCAAGTTAGTGTCAACTCTTAACGTAGGATATCCAATGCAAGTGTCTTGTCTCTTTCGAAGTTTGACTAAACCAGAAAACCAGTAGTGTCGTGCTTGGCTTGGCTTCTCTAATGGCTCTTCTTTGGTTGACTTTTTTTTTCCCCCTCCCCGAGAATGGAAACAAAATTTGCGGAAATTTGGATTCTCTTGTTTTAATGTCTGTTGTTTTGTCGATGGCGGTTGAAGGAAATTGAAAGGGCAAGGAAGAAGAAAACCAGGCTCAAACAAAACTTGATCGTGTTTTGTCGATGTCCGTTGACCTTTTGCTCGGCGTGTTTAATAATATCGACCCTAGGAAAGAAACGTCTGCCCGTCTCTCAAAGTCTCACCAATCCATTATTATAATTTTATAATTCAAGGAGTAAGAATTTTGGATGCACATAATTAATAATATGATCATTTTGATCATCCATTCGTCTTAAAAATCAATTGTGTAACAATGAACAAGAAGCTAAGTGAATTTACGTGAAAGATTATTTACCATTCACTTGTATTTTAAGTGTTTAGGAAACCCCTGAATGCTGAAGACGTTCGTTCTTCCCTGATATTGTCATATCGCCAGTCACGTACACTATGGAAGCTCGCCATACCCGAAAGTCTGGCTTGCTTTAACCTAACCTAACCTAGCTCTTCTTCTCCCACATCATGATTCTACTACGTACCTTGATAGGCATTTTGAAAACTCTTTGTGATGGTAATTAGATGCATGCATGTAGTTTATGATCCCCTCCATCTCTATTTAGTCCAATTCGATCCCCTTTGGTGTTTAGCTAGGGCTGTCCATCTGGTTTTGGTTTTTTCGTTTTAACCAAAACCAAACCAATTGGAAAGCTAACGATTTCAGTTTTTTGGTTTTAAATCAATAAGCAACTTTAATGGTTTTGGTTTGGTTAAAATCGAAAAATCAATAGAAGACATTAAGAAACCAATAAGAATAAAATTATTTATCAACAATTTTTTTTTGTTTCTTTTGACACGCATGCCAACCAATAATTTGTAATGGCCATTTACCATTATTATGACGTTTATTCAATAAAAAGGAGGGAAATAGGAATAAATATGAGTGTATGAGTACATGTTGGTTTTTTGGTTATCCAAACCAAAACCAAAACCATTAAGGCCCTTATTGGTTTTTGGTTGCCAAAAACCAATAAGAACCTTAATGGTTTTGATTTTGATTTTGATTTTTGGTTTTTCATACTTAATGGTTTGGTTAACCAAACCAAACCAAACCAAATTGACAGCCCTATGTTTAGCTAGCTAGTCTTGTCTCTTATCATACTTAATTATTAAACTAAAACGAGGATTACGATGATCATGTCAACTCCTTTGGCTATTGGCCTTTCTAATTAATTGCGTTTGAGTTGATAATAACATTCCACATTTTATATTTAGTGACTGAGTATGACTACATTGCAAGTTTGAAATTCAATACTGAGAAAAAAAATTGTTGGTGGGTCAATGCTTCGGTACTTGACAAACACAACGTAACTGAATTGTTGGTGGGTCAATTCATAGTAAGAACTTGATAACGGTTCGTATATCTATCTCGTTTGTCATTCTAAGAGAGCAGTGTAAACATTTGTATCAATTATGATGTATATTATGGAGTAAAATTATTTGACGAGGGGAAGGCTGAGCGATGGTAAATACTACTGAATATATTCCATAGTAATTTAAGAACAATTCGTGTCTATTTTCGGTTGTCGTCTTAAAAGAGAATGGAAACAAATGTACCAGGTACATTATATATTATGGAGTACACTTATTCGACGAGTGGAAGAAAGAACAATGATCAGTACTATTGAATTCTAAGAACGGTTCATGTCTATTTCGTTTGACGTTTGATGAGAGGAGCGAAAACGATTGTATCAAAATTCAATGGAGAGCTCCTTTATCTGTTGAACTAAATGCCATACATTACCCGTCGCCTTACCAACTACAGATTCAGATTTTTTTAAATCCAAATTCACCTACTACGAATAATCTTCAACATTCAATGGATAGGAGATTATGTTATTTCTCAAATGAACGAATGTTTAATTTTGATTAAGCGTGGTAGGCGACGTAAGGCATGAAGAATGATCGATTTTATAAAGATTTTTTCTTCTGTTTCAATGCAATTCCATTGAGTTACATGTACAAGTACTATATATATAATAACTTCAATGCAATCCAATATTGTTCCATGCATTGACCATTAATGATTTGTCAAGTCCAACTTTCATTGGGTAGGGTGGGCATGCTCTGGTCCGACCCGTTACCAACCCGAGTGAGGAACAAAGTCGATCAAAAGTGTATTTGATCCAATTCGAATACCAATTTGGTCCTATGTTCAGTTTTTCTTTCTAGTTCATAAGAATTTGTGTAATCGAAATCGAATTGAAGTACATATGATCTTTGATATTTTTACGGTTTCTCGTTGGATTGGATTAGGTTTGCTCTTCTAAAACCAATAGGTATTTTAGCAATTTTTTTTTAAAAAATACACCCACTATGCCGAGTTTTAATTTAGAGAAATGAGATCCAACCCGACTCTTTGCCAACCCTAGTTACAAGTTACGACTTACAACCACATGCAGTGGTGGTCGTGGAGCTAGGTTGAAGTTTTTGAAAGAAGTAAAATTACATGTAAAATTTGCACAAATTCAGGAATTAAAATAATCGGTAAGACTTTAGCTTCCCCTCCCCCAATTACGATAATTTAAATCAGTCTCCTTGTTCGGATTTCTGGCTTCGTCACTAAATCGGCCGGCTTGTGGTCGTCGCCAGGGATGGGTGGCCTGCCTGTGTTCAGTCGTCGTCAGTAGTCCCTCCAGGTCCAGACTTCCCACTCTGGGACTCTCGTGGTGGTGACAGCGTGATGGGCTTCTTCGTCAAACCAAGATCTTCGGCCCAGGCCCACCAATACCACCCATGTGGTAAATCGTGGGATTCTGTTGAAGTCGTCGTCATCATCATCATGGGTAAGATGTAAGAATAAGACTACTCCTTGTATCTAAACTAAGCCTCCATATTCCATTGTAGAAAGAACATTCCCAGAAAACGACTAGCTAATGGTGTGCACAAAGAAAAATTTAGTAGGACGATGCAGACTTCTCATTGCAAGTTCATCTCATTCTGACAGGACACTTAGTTGGTGTCCGCCTAATTGAGAAGTATCGTGTTGGAATCTTCTGGAGGATGTGCAGCGGCCCGATTTGGTGCAGATCGAATCAAACCATGAGAATCACGGTATAGAAAAAGGAAATCTTATGACTAAGTGACATATATCATCATTGCACTCGGTTCAGTTTGATCTGATCCAAATCTCTAGTTGAACAATTTTTTGCTTAAAATATTTATAAAATTAATGAGACCATTGTTATAAGAACCGAGCCAGATCAATGGTCGGACCAGTAGAACCCTAAATCATTTACAATAGTGGTTCGGTTCATTATTTGGAAGGTTATTGATGGACCAAATGATTTTTAGCGGTTCAACATAAAGTCAAATGAACCACCACGATCTAACTGGTCCACTGGTTCAATATTTTAACAAAAAAAAAAACTTTAACATAAACTAAGACCATCAAACCATAATTATTATTTTAATAAAAATATGATTTTTTTTAGATGGTTTGAATGATTTATTAGATAATTTGGTGATGATATGAAATTGAAATTGTCTATGGTCAATGATAACTTTATTTTCAAATTAGTACAATAATTTTGTAATGGTTAACCACTAAATCCTAAATCACTAACTTTTCTGGTTCAATCTTCTGTCCGATTCTGAAAATAAAGGAGATCACAGATTGAATCGCATCCGTCACGTACGAAACCGAACCTAACGTTTGACTTAAAGGGGGTAAAAAATAAAATTTGTTCCCCTTGGATTTTGCCCTAGGTACAGGCGTACAGCCGTCATTCCTGTAGGTATATTTTTCTTTGAGGCGTCAAGCTAAAAAGAGATATACCACATTTGGATTTATCTGCCTTTTCACCTTTACCTTTCTGTCATATTCATACATGTATGAAGAAAATGATAACAATAACAATCCACTAAAATCCACAATTAGTAGCCCAAATCCCCTTCTTTAACTACTTCAATAATTCAATCCATAGATCACAAGTATAAATTATTGATTGATCATATAAACAATAAAAATAAGCAAAAATCTTCCCCTTTTCCCCACCTCCTCTCCATTTCATCTTCAAATCTTTTTGTATTCCTATTATATAGACACTAGACACCCCCTTTAATAAAAAGAACAAAAGCTTGAAATCACTTTCCCTTCTCCATTCATTATTGAAACCCCATAAGAGATAGAAAAGATAGTACAAATTTATATTTGTACTTAATTAACACTTGATTGGCGTTGTGTATGGTGTTTAAAAATGTGTTTAGAGATAGAGAATTAGAAAAGTTATTTCGCAGACAGAGAAACGTATTAATGATTATCACTCTTATAGAGAAAAATAGTGATTACCCATCCGCGCTACTCATCTGTAGCAGAGATATGCTACCTCCTCGTCGCATACTGACATGTTTGGTCAAAGCATGTGTATCGTGAAATCAACTGTGTTGCTTATTATCATGCTTTGTTACGACAATTGGTTTCCTTGAGAAATAATATCTCCACATATAAAGGTCACATGATCCCAGTTCAATTGAGTCGACAATAGGCTAAACTAGAAATAAAGAAAAAAAAGAGGACCAAATACAACGAGAAAATGCATTTGTTACTATCAGAAGGAGAAAATTTTGAGTGGGGCGGGTGTACCAGCTAGGAATGCTGGTCTGGTGCATCCAGCCAATAATACTTTGCCATGTGTCCAAATAACAAAATAAGAAATAACTGAGTCTCCTTCTTCGGTTAATTATTGATAATGGTTAAAAATAACAATAATTAAATACCCCCACTAACTCATCGGTGAATTAATAACAATTAAATAAAACATACCCCTTAAAATAATAAGAATTAACTATTCGTATATTAAACAAGTCCTACGCCGGTGGACGATGGCTGTCGTGGAGTCTTTCGCCATTGATTCTGGTGAATTTCTAGACAGCAAACCAAACGAACTCTCATAACTTTCACGATTGTGGTCAGTGTACCAGCTTCGATTGCTTACCTCGCCTGGTGATAACAATCATGAATCCAGGATCAAAGGGAGAGTACAACAATCTACTTCATCAATTTCTTTTTTCTCGGTCGTGATTTCGACAACAGAGGTGATCTTCGCCGTCAAAGGGAACGATTCCCTTGTTGCTAGAGCAAGGTCGATATGTATATATTGATTACGAACTCAATGAGATTGTCTTCCGATGTCTCCTTAGCGGTGAAATTTGTCGGAGTAACCTTCGCTTTTGTTGACTGAAAATTCTCCAGGGATCAAAGGCACAAATCTTGTGGCGGTGACGCACTATTGAACTTCTGCAGGGTTTTTTTCAATTTCTGTTGGCAGAGCATTCGTATTTAATTATTATCAATTAACTAACCGAAGAAGAAGAAGGGGGTCAGTTATTTCTTATTATGTTAATTAGCCACATGTGTCATTGGTCGGGTGCACCAAGTAAGCATTCCTAGCTGGCACGCCCGCCCAATTGAAGATTTTCTCCTATCAGAAAAGGTTCAAACATCATCTAATTCATTTGATATAATATGATCAGCTATAAATATAAAATTACTCGAGTTATTACGAGGAAGTTAGCATTATTATATACTCAATTTGATCCGATATGAACGGGATGGTTGGACAACCCTATCCACGTATATACCGCCCTGTCCCAAGAAAAGCCTCGCAACAAGTTAATCAACAAATCAAATCAGCATTTTCTACAAACAAATCATATAAAAACCAAACCCACACCTCAGCTCTTAAAAACTCCCCCTCTGTTCTCCCTTCCAATCCCAGCCATTATTCCCGGAGAAATCCCCGCCGGAGAAGAGTGCACGACAGAGTTTCCAGCACCATCATTCCTACAAAAAGTTATTGTCTTTTCTTCTTCTTCTTCCTTCCTTTCCCGACCAAAATTATTCAGGGTTGACTTCAGCTTCTCTTCTTTTCACATGTATCTCCTCCGCCGTCTTCCCCCCTTCTTCTCTCTGCCTCTCCTCCTTCTCCTCGGCCGCGCGGCAGCGCAACCGAGCACGACCCAGGAGTACGCCCCCACGGCGCCGGAATCCCTGAACAACTTCCAGCCAAGCTTGGCGGTGGTAATTGGGATTTTAAGCATAATGTTCTCCGTCACATTCATCCTCCTAGTCTACGCCAAGTTCTGCCACCGCGGCTCCTCTGCCGCCGCCCAGGCGGCAGAGCTGCTCCGTCAACAGGGCTTGGCCCGCTCTGCCTCAAGATTCTCGGGAATTGACAAGACTGTAATCGAATCACTCCCCTTCTTCCGATTCTCCTCCCTCCGCGGCGACAGGGACGGCCTCGAGTGCGCCGTCTGCATCTCCAAGTTCGAGGACGTCGAGATCCTCCGGCTGCTGCCGCAGTGCAAGCACGCCTTCCACATCAATTGCATCGACCAGTGGCTGGAGAAGCACTCAAGCTGCCCGATCTGCCGGGCCAAGGTCAACGCCGAGGACCCAACAGTCTTCGCCTACTCCAACAGCATGCGGATGATGTGGAGCCAATCCACCGACGAGGAGACGGCGGCGGTGGTGGAAGCAGATCGGGGAATTTCTGCGGCGGAGGACGAATTGGGGCTTTTCGTACAGAGAGAGGAGAGCGGGAGACGGTCTTCGTCGAGATTCAGCATCGGTGGGAGTTTTCGGAAGGCGGGGAGTAAAAGCGGCCGGAGAGAAGACCAAACTCCGATTCTGGAGGAAACAGGGGACGATGAAGAAAACAGGGGAAGGGGAAAAATTGGGTACCATAAGTTCAATCACAGGATTGTAGTCTCCGATTTGGCATTCAAGAATCGATGGAGCAGTGTCAGCTCTTCGGATTTGATGTTTCTGAGGTCCGAGATGCTTAACGACGCTGCCGGCGAGAGATTCTTCTCTCTGGATCAACAACTCTACAGCCAATCTGGCGGAGGACAGCACAAATTGGCCGGCGCCCCGCCGGCGGCATCGAGTAACGGCAATAACTACTTGTCGGCGGATGCTAATGCTGTCAATTACTCGAGGGAGATTGTGAATTCGGCGGCGGACAGGCGGGCGGTGTCGGAGCTGACGGGGGTTTCGAGATTCAGGAGCTTGGGTGTGGATCCCGTTGAGGGGATGGCGGCGGCGGCGGATGAGGAGAGGCAGAGGCAGGCGTGGATTCCGATAGTGCGAAGGACAGCGGAGTGGTTTGCCAACAGGGAGAAGCGGAAGACGGCGGCTGAGACGGTAGATGTATAGTTTAAGTCAAGGGTTTTCATTTCTATTTTTTTGCTGTTGATTTGAAATTTTTACACTACATAAGTTTTCCTACAAAGTCATTCACGTAACATGAGTTGTTTAACCAAATTTTGTTACGAGTAGCGAAACACGATGTACAATTATCATGTTAATAAATCATACGGTGCGTGATTTATTGAGCATGTTCTTTGTATTAATTTACGAACATGATGGTGATTTTAGGGAGCGTACATAGGGGCGGGCGGGCGGACCAAGAAACTTTTATGAGGAAAAAAATGAATTGACTCTCTGTACTAGTTTGAATTTGGGGTAGGGATGGATCCATGGTATTGTTAGAGTGCTTTGGGACACCCTAAAATTTGGAGATCTCCTAGTAGTTTGAATTTGGAAGAAAAAAATGTATAGTCTTTGCAATTTACACTCTAATTATTAAAGAAAATATTATTTATTACACTACAATCCAATTTAATCCAAACCTTAAAAACTCGTCTTGCTTGATTTTATCCAAATGAGTTTGGTCACTTTTCTAACTCATTCTTCTACGACATTTGGCGGATTATTATCATAGTGTCAAGAATGATGAGTTATTCTTCGGATTAAAGAGATTGATGAATTAGTTTAGTTAATAGTGAAAACAAAAATGAATCCACCATATTAATCGATCTATTTGCTTCTTAAACTTGTTTTGATTTTAGCGGTTGAAACTGCAAGCATTGAAAGAATTTTTCCAGTTTTGCGCTACATCAACAACAAGCTGAATAATGGGTATATGAAGGGGGAATCAATTTGAGGTGATGTCTTTGGTATATTCAAGCTAGTGGGATTTGGAGGCATTGTTACTCTGTAGTTTGGTGCTTTCACTTTAATTAATATATAAGCGTTCTTGGGATGTAGTTGTCAGCATGGATGTAGGCAACGGTTTCGAACTCTCTTCTTTGCAAAGAAAATGACGCATCTCTATCACTCTAAGTAGTTAAGTATTTATGAAGGTATGACCCCAAGGACCAGAGTCGCCCATCCTTTTGTTTTGTCTTTCTTATCTCTGTTTGTTTGTTAGTTATTCAGAGTTTTTCTTATTAAGGGAATCGAGTATCGACAATGGGTGTCACCCAAGTTTTTTGATTTGGGTGCATATCGGTCATTTCACTAGTTTGGTTGAAAAAAAGTCGTCTTTGAAGGCAAAATCGTGAACACACTAGGAGCTTTCTACAATGTGAAGATCGTCATGGACCGAGACTGGCTTGTTCATTATGTCTGTTTGTTGGTGATAACGGAAGAGGAGATCGCATAGTTGCCACCTAGCTAGTCCCCAGAGAGAGGGGTCACTCTCGAGTTAATTAGACGGGTTTGTTCGTTTGATTGATGTCTGGTCATGCATCAGTTGGTGGCTTGATAAGAGATCATATATACATGGCGCTCGTAATCAATATTGAGATAGGCGAAATTGAGCGTCGTCGTAGAAGGGCTCAAGATGATGTGTAATGCTTGATACCGGTCCTGGTAGGGTTCAGTTGGGCTCATGTTGCACAGTTCAGATGCTACGTAAAATATATTGCCACGAGCCTTAGCATGTCGAAGCAATATGTAATTTCTACGAGCTTGGTCGATAGAGATTGGGATGTGTTGTCCAAAGCGGACGGTCAATATGTGCCCATGGGTCCTATATATGGTGCAGGCCCTCCAAATATTAGAGACATTCACCATAAGCCTGACAAATATAGTGATAGAAACCCAGAATTCGGTTTCTATCGAGTTCTAGGGATTTGGAGAAAAGAGGTGAATCACCAAGATAGTGATCCGCCTTTCTCGAGGAAATGGAGTGGGGAAGGAGATTTGGAAATTGATGGGGGAAAAGAAGAAGGAGAGTAGCCGCCGCATCAGTAAGAGGAGGAGAAGAGAGGTTCAGCAGGGAGGAAGAGAAAAGAGGGATTAGGGAATACTTTAGGGTTTAATCTTGCTTAGTGGCTTAATTCCACGTACAAGAATATTTATATAAATGAATAATTTTCTACTGCTACACCGAATTATTGAATTCCCACAAATAACCCACAAGAAATCCCAATAAGTCATAAAAATAATAAACCGACAAAGACAATTCGAATAATCAAACTATAGAAAATGCCGGTTTCTATCATCCCCTCCTCCTTGTGAACAACCTTGCCCTCAAGGTTGACTCGAGCTCACTGATTCTCTTCCTTGGCATCTGCCGCCCCCTCCTCTGCTTCATCTTCCCAGCGGCCTACAAGCATCATCAAATCTGGCCTCGCGCACTGGTGACTGACGATGAACCGCTCATTGCAATTAAAGCACTTGCCCTCCCGCCTCTTTTGCTCAATCTCGGCGGGTGATAATCTGACGAAGCCCTTTGGTGGCGCTCGACGACCGGGTCTGGGTCCTGCCGCCGCTGGTAGTGGTGGGGTCAACCCTGCAACTCCGGTGCTCGCCCCGGCAAGCTCGCTTCCACCTCCGCCGCCTGCCGGCTGCCGAGCTGCTGCTTCTTCCTCCACTCGGCCTCTGGTAGCGACCGATAGTGCTTCTCTAGCTAGCGAGTTCGTCCTCTTTATGACCTGCAAGACGGAAAGCAATCCTTACCGAATCTGGTTCAAACACCCTGACCACTGCCGCGATCTCTAGCCTCAGGCCAGCCAGGCACAACCCCACAACCGTTTCTTCCGGCACCCCCTTGCACTGATTTCACAGCTTGAGAAACTCCGACCTGTACTTCGCCACCGTTCCCGTCTGCCTCAACTTGGCCAATTGTGCAGGGGCCCAACCTTTTGATTTGCCGAACTGATATCGGAGTTCCTCCTAGAACATCGGTCACGTGGTCAGCATTCCCGTGGCAGCATAAGATCTCTCCAGCCACTCCCACAAGTGCAGAGCGTCATCCTCCAGGTAGAAGGACGCCAAATGCGCTTTTCTCTCCTCTCGAGTCGGGTGGTTCTTAAACCACATGTCAGCTGCATACAACCACAACCCTACATCCTCTTGTCTATTGAATTTTGGAAACTCAATGGTTGGAGGTTTAGCTCTGATAACTAAATCATCCTCCAATTCATTAAAGCGGTCATATCCACTTACCTTTCACTGCGCAGAATTCTCGGCCCTCTATACGAGAAGTCCGCATCCTCCTCACCCATTGGGTGACTCGCATGCCAGCTCCTCCAATCATGGGTTACTCGTCCCGACTCCATCCTCTGGCCCGGTTGGTACCTCGCGGCTCCTGGGGTCATGCGCGGAGGTTGTGAACCCCGTGACTCGTCGCATGGTCCACGCCAGCCCGAATGAACCCTAGTGATATGCCCGCCTTGCTGCTGGTCACCCCGGTTTGGTTAGAGTTGGTCCAACCAGTTCGGCCGATTTGGTTTGACCCGGACCCAACATTTTCGGCTGGCCACAGCTGGTCCAGCCCCCCAACGACCTCCTGTATAGTTTAGTCAACCCTTCGGCTTACCCGCCAAACTCAACTTGTCCGCTTCTTGGGCTTGGTCCGAGCCCAACCACCCTAACCCATTAGGTTCGATAGCCCTACCTTCCACTTCTCCTTGAGTCATTGGGCCCAGCGACCCCAAACCCAATTCAAGGCCCACATTGTCATAGCCCGACATTTTGGCCTTGCCACGCCGTGGTGCAATTTCCTGGACTGTCGGTGTTGGAAGCAGGCCCGAACCGCCTTTGGGCCCAAATGGAACGTGGCCCGCACGCCCCATCTCCTGCCGTAGCTCGGCTGGCACGCCCGACCCGCCTGCCTCTCTTGTCGTCGCGACAATCATTGCCACCGACGCCACCGCTTCCGAGGCCACCGCCCACGCAGCCTTCATCGCCACCGCCGCTGCCCCTTCCGAGGTCACCGTTGACACAGCCTTCTACCCTGCCTCGAACTCCAGGCCCATGGAGGCCTCGATTCTATGCTGCCTTCCTTGTGTCACCTCGACATCCCGTGCCAGCTTGGTTAGAGCTCGGCGAATTTCCTCCATATCTTCTCGACGTCTCTTCTCCGCGTGCTCTCGATCTGCCATAAGCTTCTTCACAGCAATGTGGAGTTCTTCGACCGCGTCCACTGCGCAACCGTCTCCAGTGTCCAGGTAGCCTGGTCTGATGGGTTCTTCGTCGTCGCGGATTTCGATGGAGTGGCCGAGGGCCGCCTTAGGTGAGTCTTGCCGCCGTCGCCTGGCCCCGTCGCGGTAGTGGTCGCGGCTGCCTTTTCCCGGCTGCCTCCTCAGCAGCCTTCTCTGCAACTTTTTGTGACTTTGTTACCGACATTGCTCGCCCACTGTTTCTTGATTATTCACTTGGATCAGAACGAGACTCTAATACCAGATGATAGAAACCTAGAATTCAGTTTCTATCGAGTTTTAGGGATTTGGAGAAAAGAGGCTAATCACCAAGATAGTGATCCGCCTTTCTCGTGGAAATGGAGTGGGGAAGGAGATTTGAAAATTGATGGGGAAAAGAAGAAAGAGAGCCGCCACAGGTAGCAGTAAGAGGAGGAGAAGAGAGAAGAGGGATTAGGGAATGCTTTAGGGTTTAATCTTGGTTAGTGGTTTAATCCCACGTACAAGAATATTTATATAAATGGATAATTTTATACTGCTACTCCGAATTATTAAATTCCCGCAAATAACCCACAATAAATCGCAATAAGTCATAAAAATAATAAACCGGCAAAGACAATTCGAATAATCAAACTATAGAAAATGCGGGTTTCTATCATACAGATTAGCCTTGTACACAACTAGCATAGGTTAGTCCTTTGCGGACGAAAAAAACGTAAGCTTTCGTCGATAAACCAATTAGAAAAAATTAGAGGATTGGAAAAGGTTATCTAAAGCTGGTTATATGCGTGCATAAACCAACTCTGCACCCGAACCAACATGGATTAATTGTTCGTTTTCCGACATCAAGTACTTGCTGCAACTAGGGGTGGACAACAATCCGGTGTATATTGGACTAATTATAGATCGAATCGATCGACTTATGTCCACCCTTACTTACTCGTAAGTTTGTAAATTTGTGAAACAAGATTCATAACATCTAGGGGGTCAAATTAGAATGGTTGGAGTAGTGTTAGTACTCCATTTATGGTTTTCACTTTCATAATGGCGGTCAATTAGGAACAAATTCCTGTTCAATTCTGAATTATATAACGTACTTTCAACTGCTTGCCGACCTTGTGATTACGATACCCAAGCTAACCTAAACTAATGTAACAAATTTAATCGGCATACTAATAATAGTTAATCTGGTAAATTCAGGTATATAATTGACCAAATAGTTACGGTATTTATGCACACTGCACCTTGATTTACAATCCGAATCCATTAAATTACCTAATATACAAGTTACGTGCATAACATGCATAGCAAATGAAAAAGGACAAAATCTTGAGGAGAAGTAGCTAGAGATTATAGTAAGTACAAACATAGAGAAAAAATAAGAGGAAATCAATCTCATTCAAACACAAACATTCATGTCAATAGTTTCACTACTTCTCTTCAAAATGAATTTAGCCCCCCTCTCTCGGTATTCAAGATTATGTAATTATTTCTTTCAAGATAACGTATCAACGGTAAGTGCTCTGCACCCTAGCGGCTGTGGACGTGTCTACGGTAAGTGCTCTGCACCCTAGCGGATCCCCTTCAATGCATCCGGTTCTCCCCCAATTTCCCTACGAAGACAGGATGTAGGCTACGCAAGCCGCCGATTACATTCTCTCCTCTTCCAGTTCAGTCCAGTCCATTCCAAACTTCCCCTTCTTCTTCTGTCGGCGAATCAATCGACACATCTCCTCTCATCGGCGAAGCATTAGGTGGAAGCCGTGGTCGAAGCAATTGACTGGAAATAGAAACCCAACTCTAGGTTCGACAAATCGGAACGGCGACGGAGGTATCCGTGCATCTTCCTTCTCCCCTGTTCTTTTTCGCTTTTTTTCTTCAACAGTTTCTGGGTTCTGGTGCTGCGGCTTCTCCTCTTGGATCTGAAAGGAGCATGGTTGAATTCGACTGGAGGCCCGAAATCGATTTGTGTTAGAAAGGAGAAGAGGTCTTTTTCTCCATTTTTCAGTTGACCGTTGCCACGGCCTGACCTGGTGAGACCTTGATTCATAAGAGGGGAAATCAAAGCGACCAAGGTATGAACCCGCCGATTGCAATGGATTCACCTCCAGCTCCTTTGTAACTACTCCATTCCTTCTTCCAGCTGCCTCTTTGAGATATGTTCCCCTGTATCTTTAGGCGTCGGTTTGCGTAGGAGAACAATGTAGAATACTTCCCAATTCCAAGCAACAAACAAAAACTCATTAATAGATTCGATTTCTTCAATTATTGGGTGTTCTATTGCGTTCCATTGCCGGTGACCAAAGGTTGATTATCCTAATCGACATCCATTTGTAAGTCGATAGGATGGACGTTGTTCAATCCCTCCAATACTGCCTCAGTTCCATCGTAGTCCCAATTCATATTTTGATTTCGCAACGCGGTATGTTATTACACATGTTAGGATTGATGCTTTATATTAATCGGGTTACTGAGTATTGCATACTGGTTTCTGTTCTTTGTAATCGAAATGAAGTTTATGTTCTCTCCCCAAGCTTGAAAGTTTGAGAATGCATCTGGAATCCTTCACTCTATCCAGCCTGCATTGCTACCACGGGTTTGTTCAGGGAGCACATTTCAGTCGTCAGGCTTCTCTTCCCTCCGTTCCAGAAGTACATCACCAAGATGAAGCGGCAAAGTGATTCGCGCAGGTAAACCAGAGTAACAATGAATTTTAGTAGTTAGTTTCTTACTTAAAGTAGATGTCCTTTCTATTGAAGAAAATGACAAGTTAATTTGAGGCTAATTAGGATGATTTGTAGTATTATTTTGCTACTATAATAAAACTTCCTTTGTCTTCAATGAATAGGACGAGTAAATTCCATACTAGAACCTATTCAGGGAAAAAGCAATATAGTCCTTTGTCTTCAATGAATAGGACGAGTAAATTCCATACTAGAACCTATTCAGGGAAAAAGCAATATAGTTTCCGAATATAATTCTAATTAGTTCTTCATGTGATGAAAACTCTATAAATTACGAGGCTCTACATCAAATTTAGTTCTCATGTCATTTACTTCTTCTGTCCTTTTCGTTTTATACTACAAACAGCCGACTATCTCTTTTACACAATGTCCTCTGCAGGTCCAAAGAACCGATCAAAGGCCGCAGAAAGGTCTCTGCAACAACCTCAGCTGATAATCCACTACAGTTAACAACCTCCTCTGATAATCCACAGGAACTCATCCACGAATTTTCTGATAGCCCACAGAAGCTCTTTCACCAACTGACTTTACATGATACTGATGTGTCGATCAAGGCCCGCCTCCTCCACGCATGGCGCTCCTATAGTCCATCAAACCCTGAGCTAATTTTTGATTATGGAACTTTATGGGTAGATGAAACGGTAATTTACTTTTCCATCTTATCATTGATTTATCATTTACCTCGGCCTCCTATGATATTTACTCTTTTCATTCTTTCTCAGGGGATGTTGATCCATGGGATCGGAAATCGTAATTTTGTTGCAGACTTTGAGAGCAAACTCTCTATCGGGTTTGTGTACAAAATCCAAAAATTCATAGTCCAACAAGCTAAACAGATGTACCGGCCATGCAAGAATGGTTTATCCATCTTTATCACTCCCAGTACTAAGTTTGAAGATGTCACTGCCTCCTCTTTGGATTTTTGCCCTCAAAGCTTTGAGTTTTGCAATTTTGAAACATTGGGACTACGTACAGGGTCTAAGGAACTTTTAACGGGTGAGATAATGTTTACATCTGTTTTCCTTTACTTCCTCTACTCAATATATATTGACTATTTCCCCTCTCAAAACTAGACGTTGTTGGCTGCCTCAAATCCATCAGCCCAGTAGAGTACACAGATACATGCAATGGAGCCGCCACCAAGCAATCCTTAATCCTACAAGACGAAAGGTATTTTTCCATTTAATAAATTAAACCTTTGCAATATGAGTATTGAGTTGTCTAACTTGCCTTTGTCTTTGTCACTGTCATTGTGAAACCCTCCAATATAAGAGGTACAACCTTATCAATTTCTTTATGGGGAGACTTAGCCTACAAGCTTAAAGCATATGATTTAGCATTGCCTGCTCAAGCCTCCCCCGTCATTATTGCCATTGGCGGCCTATTGATTACCTCTCGCCGAGGTAACTAATGAAACTTAATTTTCTGTAATATGAAGCCTTATATATAATGCGTGGGTATACTAATTCAACCACTAATAATGGTTTTTTGGTTACAAAATCTGTAGATGGAATCGGAGCTACAAGTATTTCTGCTACAAGAATTATTCTCAACCCCCAATCTCTAGATTTTGGAGACTTTAAACCATATCCAGATGATTTTGAAGGCCTTATAAAAGTGTATGTGCCTTGACTCAATTACGTTACATTCGAACTAACATTAACTGCTTACTAACAGTTTATGACCACCAGTGCTTCAGATGCTGCGTTCTCTGTATCTTTAATCCCAGTGACCAATGACACACCTGAGAAAAAGGCAGAACATGCTCTTCAATCACAACGAATCTTAAAGCAACTTATAGAGCTACGTGCGACCTGTGGATCACCGGTATTTACTCATCAATTTCTTTTAAGTCCCATTGATAGTAAATATAATAATAGATGTTTTCTCATGCGTAATATTGTACAATAACCAAGATTACTTATATCTTCGATGTAGAATATGTCTTATATTTGTCAAGCAACTATTACTGCTATCAAATCACCAACAACATGGGCATATCGGGGCTGCACAAAATGCTCTCGCAAAGTAACTGAGTGTGGTTCAAACTATTGGTGCTTAAAGGACAACCAGATAGCCCCTTCGGAAACAAAGCCATGGTATTACTTAAATTTTTTGCCTTATTCGAATCAAGTAATCCTATAATAATATGATATGATACTTCTAGATATTTTCTTCAGGTACCTAACTAGGCTCATTGTGCAAGATGGTAGTGATGAAGCAGTATTCCTTCTCATAGGAGAAACTGCAGACAGGATCTTCACACGTAAATGCTCAAAACTATATGACAACTTCCCGCAAGGCACTGGGATATTGCCACCAGATATTCAAAGTCTTTGTGGTCAAACCTTGGAGTTTCACGTGAAACTTCCAAATCAAAACTACAAAGGTGGGGATGGGGACTTTATCATCAGTAAGATCATTGGGCTTCTGCAACGGAACGCCAAAACGGACACAAAGAAGCTTCTAACTTCGGCATCTCAAAACAGGTATGTAATTAGTATTCCTTAATAATCTTTGCTCAGTTGGACCGTAGTTACAATTTTAGTGCGATTAATAATTTTGCTCAATCCATCTATTATATAGGGACATGGATAAAGCATCTGAGTATATGTATTCAAACCCAAATTAATCTTGCTCAATCCATCTATTATATAGGAACATGGATAATGCATCTGAGTATATGTATTCAAACCCAACAACAAAATTGCCTACCCCATTGCTTAAAGGAACTGAAATTAGCAAAGAAGAAACAAATTCCAGGTACCCATTTTAGCACTCTTTTTCTAACACATCTCTTCTTTTTTCATGTCATTGCCTGTATCCATATTGGAATCGTATCATACATCCACTATCTTTGCAGCAAAACTGATGCGGTCTTAAAGACAAAGAAGAAAATGAACAACAAAAACAGGTGACAATTGAGTATTAGGATTGCCTCTTTTACTACATTAGCTTTTGGAATTGAACAAACTTCTTGAACATTTTAATTTTGAAATTTTACAAACTTAGAGCAAGTTCACCAACCCATCTTGATGGAGAAGTTTGCATGATCAGCACACCGCCATCTACAAATGAAAATTCTTTGACCGATGCTCGAGCAAAAGCAAGAAGCTGCAGGCAAAGTAGATCGTCGAAAATCAATGTACCTGAAAGTACCAACAAGAAGAGGTAGGCAATCGTGTCCAATTTCAAAATATATTCATTAGCTTTAAGATAAACACATATTTCATATACTGTGTGTCTCTATGTTTCATTTATTAACCACTTACTGTGAGATAAATTCTGAATATATAAATATCAGGAACATTGGTGGATCATCGGCTCGAGTTAGTAAGAGAAAAGCAAGTACTGCTGCTGAGTTTGTTACCCAAGCTGATAATGAAACCCCAAGACCAACTGCTGATGCAGAACTGCCACATCCACAGAGTGCAGTTGAAGAAATTATCAATCAAGCAAAACATCCAAGGTACCATATTGGTTCATTGCTTCATACTCCCAAGTGTGTAATAAGAATTCAGATTTAATTGTCCTTTTCCATAAAATTAATTGTCATTGCTATTAAATAATCTTAATTTCTTTACCTTATGCAATTAGGGGAAATCACACCAACCACAACAACGAGGACAAAGTGCTTATGATAGACCAAACATGTTCGGATAATAAAACTACATCTTCTGACGATGAACAGCCTTTGTCTAAAATGATGGCAACAAGAAAAGGCTTGAATAAGAAGCAATCACCGGCAGGCAAAGTCCTTTCAGAAGACCACAACGACAGGTAATATACTTGGGAATATGAGTTTCAAATTAGAATATACATTGATTACCATTGTTATCATTAACCATCTGCATTTTATATTACCTGTAGCATTAACTCACCGCTGGCCAAGGTAAAAAAGGAAAAACTTTCAGCAGCCTCTAAATTGACGCCAACTCCAGCAACAACTACCGCTGCTGAAAAACTGCGGAAACGTAAGCGGCAACCTGTGAGGAAATATGCTTCTTAAGAACCTCAATTAGGCTAAAAGACGAGTGTCCTTGCATTTCATTTTTGCATTCTCACACTTATGTTACAAACAGTTGTTTGAACCTTCTTTAGAACAAAAATAAGCCGTACTTTATTTATATTGATGTCGTAATAGAAAGTACACCATTGTAAGTACACCCTTCTGTCATTATAACTATTCCAACGCAGAATCGTACGCCTATTTGAGTTCTTGCTTTCTCGGTGAAGTTAGGTCCAACTTCATATATACCAGAAACTTATTGCACCACCCTTTTGGATCCAAATTACCATCTACACTACATGAATTCCTCACAACTGAATTTGACCGTTCGATTATAGACGAACAGCTTCCTATAAGAATCAAATTCTTATACCCATCAAACAGTGTGAAGTTCGGGAAAGGAGAAATTTACGGTAGATGGGAAAAAGGCCACATGTCCCTTGACCTTCTCCACGCCTCCCCTCATTTATCCGATCCCCCACGGCGATCGGGTGGCGGCTAGACAAGTGGACGATTCTTCGTCGCCTTCAATAGTTCAATTGACTCAAAGAAGAAAGGGAAATAGCTTGAATTTTGAGGAATCGGAAATTGCAATCCGGCCAATCCCTTCGATAGACCAAGACTGTTACGGTTAGTACCGTTGCTTTGGAAGCTGGGATTCTACTCGCCGGCGCCGATAACGGATAGTGTGCGAGGAAAGGGTTAAAGTGGAGAAAGTTGAACTTGGTGAGTCTTCGATTTCCTTCATCTACGCAGGCAAGGGTTTCGATTTGAGTTTCAATGACGACAACAAAAGGCTTCCATCGCACTGCCTAAGCATTTCGATTTCCGTTAATCTGTCGGTTCCTCTTACGCTCCACCTCAGTAAGCCGATACGGTGTCCATTTCCGAAACCCTTCAATTTTGTGGGGGCTAATACTTTTCCTTTCTTTTACATCGCTTCAAAGCTAGAGGCTACTCCCATCTTTATGATTTCCTTCTTCAATGGGCACTCATGCAATCAATACGAAAAAACACAATATGATTAGGAAAAGGAATAAAAACACAAAATTATGCATTCCCAACTTTATTAGGCAAAGGAATAAGAACCCAGAAAGCATTATACAATTCAGATCCAAAAAGGCAAAGGAATAATTTGTCTCTTTAAAACTCCATAAATAGAGCACGATACATTGAGTTCACCCAAGCTCACGAAAACTAATCAACAGATTCTTTTGTGTAAGACCAGCCCCACGGAAATACTCATATATTCTTTCGCTTTGGCATCTGTTATTTAAAGTGGCTAACTCTTTCTTTGTCATCGCATTCAGGCTCCTCATCTCCGACGTTAAAAGGAATAACTTCTTCTAGGGATAATGGAACAAGAAGCAGCAGAGGTATCTCATACGACCGCACAGCATAGACGAAGAAAGAACGGACCGAATAGGGAGGAAATAGGGAGTACAAAGGAACCGCCAAAACGAAGGAAAACAGGGATAGACAGGCGATCAAAGAAGCTAGCTATAGCATCTTTCAACCCATTCAGACAACCTTTCTCAACTGAAACCACTACCAACATAACAAAAAATACTGCAAATCCAACAGTACTGAACTTGCAGCCGGAGCTTCAAGAAGGAATTGAACAGACTAATCAAAATCTTACTCCAACACAAACTGAGGACCATATGGGAGATACTGAACAAGCACCGCTACCAACCGTTGGGCCGCAGGATTTTGATAATACTATCCTAGATTTGGGATTACCAACCTTAGCTTGCACACATTGTGGGGCGCGATTCTGGCCACAGGAACAGATCATCAACAACAGGCCAAGCTACACACCTATATTTACATTGTGTTGTCAGCAGGGTAGAATACGCCTACCACTTCTGAAACAAACCCCACCATTCTTGGACAAGCTTCTTGACGTCAATGGTGATTCACTATCTATTCACTTTGCCCAAAACCGCCGCCCATACAATGGAGCCTTCTCATTTACATCCTTTGGAGCACAAATTGATCAACGACTATTAAACTCAAGAGGCCCATATTCGATGATTATATGCGGCGAGAACTATCACCGCATTGGTTTTCTATTGCCTCCTAATGGTCAAAGACCAAAATTCGCACAATTATACCTGTTCGATCCCTCGACTGAAGTTGAAGATAGGATGGCAAACTTCTCAAGAAACGACGATACCTTGCTTCCAGAGATCGTTTCGGGATTAATTGAAATGTTTGATCAAACAAATGAATTGGTTAAAAGCTTCAGAAGAGTACGGGAACATCTACAGAATCAGGCAAACCAAAATCTCAGACTGAGAATTTTCGGTGCTCGAGTGAGAAATGCAGAACAGTATGAGCTACCTACTGGACAGGAGTTGGCTGGACTAATCCCAGGAGATTTTCGTCCAGATAGTGAAGATAGAGACATTATAGTTGACCATAGGAGCGAGGGTCTACGGCGTATCTCCAGTCTAAACCCCAAATTTGAAGCTTTACATTTTCCATTGCTCTTTTCGTACGGTGAAGATGGTTTCCACACAGGTATATTATATGTTAACCAACCAAACAGAGCCTCAAGCCACAGGAAATGCGTAACTCAACGAGAGTATTATTCCTACCGTTTGCAGCATCGTGACAACGAAGGAACCACGCTAATGAGAGGTGGGAAGGTTCTACAACACTATATCATAGATGCATTCTCCACGATCGAACAAAATCGGCTTATGTTTCTTAGACAACATCAGCAGGAATTGAGATCGGAAGTCTTCAAAGCATTGAATGACGCTCTCCAAGCTGGTCAAGAAACCGGGCGAAATTTAGGAAGGATAGTTTTGCCGGCTTCATACACAGGAGGTCCACGATATATGAAAAACCTTTACCTCGATGCAATGGCAATTTGTCAACATTTTGGCAATCCTGATTTATTCATTACATTCACTTGCAATGCTCAGTGGCCTGAAATTGTCCATGCATTTGAAGAGACGGTTGGAAAAAGAAGTGAAGATAAAACTCAAGTTGTTACTCGGGTCTTCAAAATGAAGTTGAAAGCATTAAAAAATCGCATCACCAAAGAACACTTCTTTGGAAAAACCGTGGCAGGTAACTATCATCCTTCCATGACAATACAATTTTTACAACTTTATTTATTTGCAAGTCATTATCATGCATCGTACTTATAATGTATCATAATGTATATATCTATCTGTCAACATATATGGTTCCATTGAAGGGGAAATCTTAACTAATTTTTTCCACTGTGTTGCGTATGCTATTGGCAAGTAATAATATGCAATCACAGCTCTGGATTTGAAACTCCATCTCTAACATATATAATAGTCAAATAGTGAATATAATTGTACAGTTCTATTTGCAGATCTTCACACAGTGGAATTCCAAAAACGTGGTCTACCTCATGCACACATTCTGATATGGCTGGCAGATTCTGACAAGCTCAAAGATACTGCAGCTATTGATTCGATAATAAGTAGTGAGATACCAGACCCGGCGGTAGATCCAGTGGGTTATGAAGCAGTGACAAAATTCATGATGCATGGGCCGTGTGGCCAATCAAATACTTCAGCACCCTGCATGGTAGATGGTCGATGTTTAAAGCACTTCCCAAAGTCTTTCAGCTCAGAGGCTACATATGATCAGTTTGGATACATCGTGTACAAGAGGAGAGACACTGGTATAAAAGTTGAAAAAGGCAGAACAAAGCTAGATAATAGATATGTTGTGCCATACAATAGGGACCTTTTGGTATGGTTGCAAGCACATATAAACGTGAAGATTTGTCACAAAGGAAGGCTAATCAAGTACCTTTTCAAGTATCTCACTAAAGGACCGGACAGATCTATGGTCCACGCTACAAATGCAGCATCGGTATCAACAGATCTACAAGAGCCTATTGATGAAATTAAACAGTATCTAGACTGTCAATATCTATCAGCATATGAAGCAGCTTGGAGAATATACGAGTTTCCAATACATGAAAGAACACCAGCTGTACTAAGAATGTGTGTACATCTCCCAAATCAACACACAGTTCCATACAACGAGGACGAACCACTGGAAAATGTACTGCAACGTCGAAGATCCAACAACACTATGCTCACCCAATGGTTCCATCTCAACAGAACCAATCCATCTGCTCGATCACTCACCTATCGCGAAATTCCTAACAAATTTGTGTGGGATTCAGGGCAGGCGAATTGGTTTCCAAGAAAAAGAGGATTCCAAATTGGAAGAGTAGTTTATGTTCCGCCGGGATCAGGTGATGCAGTCTATATGAGGATGTTGCTAACGAAAGTTCGAGGAGCTATGAGTTTTGAACACTTAAGGACTGTTGATGGTAAGCTTTATCGAAGCTACAAAAAGGCATGCCAAAAACTTGGATTGCTATCAACAGATGAGGAATGGAAATTGGTGATGGAAGACGTTTGTCGATGGGGGCAACCAAGTTTAATAAGGGCAACATTCACTTCAATGCTCATGTTTTGTGAGATTACATATCCTCTTTCTTTATTTAACAAATTTTGGGAGCAAATGGCAGATGATATAGTATATAGAGCTAGAAGGGATAATTTAGCAAGTTACTTCCAACCGCCATCCCGGACTCTGCAAAACTCTGTACTGTTGGAGCTGCAACGACCTCTGAGCTATTATTCCACTACACTTCAACATGTTGGCCTACCTACTTCACAATTGGATGAGTGCGATGGCTTGGTCAACAGCCTAATAGCACAACAGCTCGATTACGACATCGTGCAACAAGGAAGACGAGCAGAATCAAGTTTGGTGTCGCTAAATGAAAATCAAAGATATGCATATGATGTGGTATTCAATTCTGTAATCTCTGAGCAAGGTTCGTTGTTCTTCCTGTATGGACATGGCGGGACGGGGAAGACATTCCTATATGATACGCTGACTGCAAAGTTGAGAAGCATGAAGAAAATTGTATTGGCTGTTGCTTCCTCAGGAATAGCAGCTACGCTACTACCAGATGGAATAACGGCACATTCGAGATTTAAAATACCACTCGATATCGACAGAAATTCTACTTGCATGATTAAAAAGGGAACCCATCTTGCTCAACTCATCAAGGAAGTATCACTAATAGTCTGGGATGAAGCTCCAATGACACATAGGTTTTCTTTCGAGGCAGTGGATAGGACATTTTGTGACATCATGGACAGCCCGTTAAGCGGAGAGGGGTACAAGCCTTTCGGCGGGAAATGCATTCTTCTTGGAGGTGATTTCAGACAAACATTGCCAGTTGTAGTAGAGGACGGCCGAGAAGAAAGCATCGATTCTTCCCTAACAAGATCATATCTTTGGAAATATTTCAAGGTCTTGCCTTTGAGAGTTAATATGCGCATCAACACCAACCCCAACAACCTCCTAACTGTTTATGACAGAAGAGATTTTGCAAGTTGGGTTCTAGCTATCGGTGATGGAAGGATAAACAACTCAACATTCAGCTCATCTATCTACCAAGACTGGATACAAATTCCAGATAAGTTTATCATCCCTCATGCAGGTAATAAGATTCAAGCAATTACTGAAGTTGTCTACAATGATTTCCATGCTAGCTATGAGGATGCAGGCTATATCAAGAATCGAGCTATTGTTACGCCAACGAATAGCATAGTTACGGACATTAATGCTTATATGTTGGCTAAAGTAATGAGACAAAGTAAGACATATTATAGTGCAGATTCTATTGAAGATGACTCGCCCAACCATGCTTCCTTGGAAGAAGAATACCCAACCGAGTTCTTGAACAGCCTATCCTTCAATGGGGTTCCAGATCATGAATTACATTTGAAAGTCTCATGCCCAGTAATCCTTCTACGTAATTTGAACCCCAAAATGGGCCTCTGCAACGGGACAAGGATCATGATAACTCATTTGGGCGACAATGTTATTAGAGGGAAAATCATTGGAGGATTGTATGATAAGGACCCAGTTGCGATTCCGAGAATAGTACTTAATGTCAGCGAGCATCGATGGCCATTTGTCTTGAAAAGGAGGCAGTTTCCGGTCGAAGTTAGCTATGCAATGACAATCAACAAGAGCCAGGGACAAACTTTAGATATAGTTGGAGTTTACTTACCTAAGCCGGTGTTCAGTCACGGTCAACTATATGTGGCAGTATCCAGAGTTCGCTCAGCTGATGGTCTGCATATACTGATTGATAATGATGGAGAAGCTGCACAAAACTACACCAGAAATATCGTTTACGAGGAAACATTTGCTGCTCTCAACGACACAACCGAAACCAATACTAGTAACGATATAGCGACACATTTCACGAAAAGTACTAATACCATTTTCCTCACGTACATAAATAAACTTACTAACACAATTATTCCTAATGCAGAGAACATGGATATCGACCACGGGGAACTCAGGAGCTAAATTTCAAGACAATGAACATCTACATAACTTCTCAAAAAGGTACGAAAGTGAGTTTAAGTTGAACAAAATTTAAAGCAACAATAACACTTGCACTTATCACAAAAACAAATTAATTCCACAATGTCATGTTCAAAAAGTATAATTTATCTTCTAATACTCTTGCTATCATCTTAACTTATTGCTACCTACACCTATTTTTTCAGTGCAGGACATCATTCACGGAAAACAACAGCTTACAAGAATATACCAGCAAGTTATTTTTGTAGATGCAAATGTAATTTTTATCTCACCTTTACTACTTTCATAACTAATATATGGAGTGTGTGATACTACTTTCGTTGTACTCTTAAAACAAGTTTATAGACTTATAACAACACCGATTGACCCTCCTTTATGCTATTTCTTTGCGGCAAGTAACGACCTACTACATTCTACGCATTACGAATAAGGGTTAACAAAACATTCCCTATTTCATTGTAATCAAAATATTACATGCACAATCACATCATTATATCCATTATAGTGCTAAATTAAACTACAACACATTGTAAAATTGAAATTCATAAAGATACCCGCCGCGGAGCGCGGGCCATTTAGCTAGTATAGGTAAAATAAGAGGGACTAGTGCTATTTATAGAAAATTAAGGTTATGTGCATCTAAAGTGCTATTGTTCGGGTTAGGATTTAGGAATAAGGGAGGGTTGAACCGAGCAGTTTGACTGTTGCTAGTTGGATGAGCTGTTGCACTCCAACCATTGCATCGGTAAGCTATAATTGGTTAAATTCTGACTTGTTACAGAAACTAATTCGATCAAGTGCCAAAAATATTTATAAAAATCAAATCAACCAAAGTCGAAGCAAGCAATGATGGTGCAAAGCTATCTCTTTCTGTTTTTTTTATTGAATGGAGGTGGGAATAAGAAATGTTCCACCAAAGACAGCCGGAAAAACAGACAGGGGGCTACCTAGATCCCCAAACCGCCGCGCGCAGGTGGAAACACCAACTAAAAAACAAAAACAGAGGAAGAAACAACACAGGGGGAGGCAAGAGGCTACTCCTCCCTAACCGCCATTCGGGGAAAGCTAACTCCCATGAGTTCTTCTCTGATAATCCGAGCTAACTCCGAGGGTGGAACTTCCAGTTCATATATACCGAAGGGATAGACGAGACTGTGCTTCAAGAGTCAGTCCACTGCTCTATTCCCTTCGCGATATGTATGTCCCAGCTGAACCACCCAGTTTTGGCCAAGAAAGCGTCGAATTTCGCTGAGGATACTGGCATTAAGATGAACAGGATCGTGAGGTTGCCGAATCAGTTCCAAAGCTAACGCCGAGTCCGACTCCAAGAACAAAAACTGGATGCCGTGATTCCAAGCGAGCTTAAGGCCCTGAAGAATGCCCCAAAGCTCAGCCAGAATCGCGGTACCTGAACCAATCCTGTGCACAAAACCTGCTATCCACTCCCCATTGCTGTCCCGAATGATCCCTCCTGCTGCAATGTCACCACTGTGACCTTGAGCTGCCCCGTCAGTGTTCAGCTTAAACCAGCCAGCTGCGGGAGGTGACAATCAAATGAGCTTTTCAACCCTGGCTGGTTTGCTGCTCCTGTCAAGAAATCTGCTCGCTGATTCCCAAGATTGAGCCTACTCTTTCGCTTTGGTCACGACGTAATTGCATAGGGAAGAAGCAGAAAGGGTGTTTCCCTAAAGACCTTCTCATTGCGTTGCTTCCACTCACCTGGCCAAAAACCCGCCTTGCTGTCCGTCAAGTTGCTTCTCAGCCACCTATCTCTGTCACTCGCCATAAACTGATCAATGTGGTCGGGCAGGATGATCTTGGACCAGATGATTTGTGCTCTCGGACAGTCCCGGAGACAATGGATGGCCATAAACTGTTAGTCCTCGTGGGTTGTCACATTTGAATACTCATACATTTATTTGGTAAAAATTATTAGTTCTAATAACTCGAATTTTTTAGGAGAAACTTTTATAATAGTGTTTATAAAGTTATATCACTTGTTTTTTACATTCCTCAAATAAAAGCACCTTATAGATATGTAGTTTGAACATATTTATTATACATTGTGTTTAAATTAATTATTAATATTGAGAATTATGATAATATGAAGATAAAATCTTTTGATTAATCAATTCGTCCTAATAGAGAGAATTTATAGTGTTATATCGTTGCCATTACACTACTATCATCATGATCCCTTCATAATTTTTCTTGGCATTTTTTAAGTGATGGAAAATAAAGCACGAAGGAATTATGATGCTATTTCCGTCCTTGCTCATTTTGTTTTGATTACAGGAAGCCGGACTATAAAATATAGGAAGTTGTAAGAGCACTTCTACTATGCTATATAGCATTGGTGTTTTAATGTACAACTTAAAGTTGTACCATAACATTAAATGTATAAGTTTAGGTTATACCATAAAGAAATTTGTATCATTATGTTATGGTCCAACTTTACAACTTGAAATTGTACCATCACATAAGGTACAAGTTTAAGTTGTACTATAAAAGAATTTGTACAGAAAGTATAGGTACAATCTGAAGTTGTACCATAACGTTAAAGGTACAATTTTAAGTTGTACCATAAAGACAAAAACCTATAGCACCAATGCTATATAGCATTGTAAAATTTCTCGAAGTTGTAATTCTATCGTTTTAGGTTCCTTGAATTATTCTGCCGATCGAGCTCTATGTATTACTAGCTTTACCCGACCCGTTGGTCGGATGAATACATCTTATTTGTTATTACTTCTTTGTTATTACTTCGTGATAATCACTTCATTCATATATGAAAATGATTTGGGACATTCATAATAATTTATTAAAGAATCGAACTTAATCTTTGTACTACTTGCTACTTGTGAGATTGGTAATAATTAGTTTATATGTATTTTTGTTGATCGAATTATCCTAACTCACTACTGTCTATATATGTTTCATGTTAAAACAATTTGCACTCCTTATTGTAACCATAAAATGCTTAAAATATTTATTCATACCTATATTATTATATTTTTTCTTTGATAAATCCAAATGAAACTAAGACAATTATGTATTAAAATAGTAATTAGAAACTTCAAGGATTAGCCTAATGCTAATATGAAAGGATAAGTCATCATCTAATGGGTTCAAACTTTATGGTCAATGATCATTTGAAATGATAATAATAATTAAGAACACATAAATTATTAAATACCAATTGATTGATAACTAATATATATATTAAAACAATTGGGATTGTTAAGGGCTGACAACAACAGTTTAAGCCAATTATACTTGTCATAAATCTAAAATATTCTAACATTTTTGCACTTTTATATTAAATAAAGCACTCAATGACTCAAACATACAACCACTTATTGTGAAAATTGAATTTTCTTAAAATTTCATGATTTCGAGAAAAGAATATCATATGTGTCATTGAGATAACAAAGTTTAGTGTGGAAAATGGTATATAAATCCAACACCTATTAGATTTGTATAACTATCCATCTAGAGATCCTAAAAATATATATATTAAATAGGGTTAATACCTTAGTTTGGCCCGAACTATACACAAACTTTCTACTTTGGCATGTGGTTTTCAAAATTGCTCTTCTGGCCCGAACTATGTACCATATTTCAAACTTGGCCCGGAGCCGGATTTGACCATCAAATTGGACGGTCAACTTCATTGACCGTTAGTCAATGACCAGCTCACTTGCCACGTCAGCAAATATTGAATAAAAAAAACCATTTGATCATAGATCTTGAAAAATTGTTGTTTTTAATTAATATTATGAGAAAGGAAAATGAATACAGAAAATCAAAAAATAAATTTTTTATTTCGTATTTGCTGACGTGGCAAGTGAGCTGGCCATTGAATAACGATCAATGAAGTTGACCTTCCAATTTGACGGTCAAATTCGGTTTCGGGTCAAGTTAGGAAGTATGGTACATAGTTCGGGCCAGAAGAGCAATTTCGAAAACCACGGGCCAAAGTAGAAAGTTTGTGTATAGATCGGGCCAAACTAAGATATTAACCCTATTAAATATGTGAATCAACGTATGTCATTATTCCAACTTTATATATACTTACATATGCCATTATTCCAAATTTATTCACATTTATATTTTTTTCTTTTTCCGTCTTCAATAATTTTTTTTGGGTAAGAAACAAAGCGAAGGAGGGCGCCCTAGCCCCTAGCCTTTATTTATTCATCAAGCAGTGGGTTTGAACCCCAATAATATCGTAATACAACCAGTAATTCAGTACTGATATGGGGGATTAAATGAAATGAACTCCTATATGGTAGTTATGGCCGAGAGAGGCCAAATAATCCGCAACAACATCGCTTTCTCGGAAAACATGAACAATTTTTTACCTCCCAATCTCTATCAAGAAGCTCGCGGATTGTTATTCTCATCCCACTTAAAACATATTTCTACAATACTGTTATTTAAGATGCTATAATTATTAACCTAATTGCCACGAAAGCTTATCTCTACAAGAAGAAAAACTAACCGTATCCCGATAGAGCTCGAGCTCCTCAAGCGGAAATAGAAATAATAGAGCATTATAATGGTAAATACAATTTGGTATAAGACTCTTTACCCTCCCAGAGTACCTAATTCACAACTTTGAATAATCATGCTCCATGAGCATGACCCATGTACGCAACACATGTTAAATGAGAAACAAAATAAAGGCAAGCAGTCTAAGTTGTAACCACACGGTACTTCTGAAATGTGATGGTGTGATCATCAAGCCATCAAATCAATCCCTATACTAGTAAATCTGAATGCCGAGTAGTGGATAAAAAATAAAAACGGTTCAATATGTTAATCTCCATTGGGCTTGGAGTGTTAACTTTGTCCAGAAGGAAAGCACGTGAAGCTGGATCTCCATCAACATAACTTCTGCAACAACAAAGGTCGTTTGCTCATTTATCTTAATGCTCAACTGTCAACTCCCTAGAAATGAGAGGAGCATGCACAATAGCAATTCGGTAGAAAGAAATAAGAACCATAAGAGAGTGAAAAATATAGAATGGAGCTACCTCTTTTAACAAATCCACGAGATACGTTTTTGGGTCACTCTACCTTATGTTGTTCTGGCAACTCCATGGGTACAGTTGATACCACTGATCAATATTCAAAAGTACGCAACCAATAAAAAAAATTCAAATAATAAAACAACACTCTCATCCTAATGTCAACTATTTATTTGTTTAGAAAACAGACATGAAACGAATGGTTGAATAAATAGAATACTCACGATGACTTATATTTGATGCCCTTGATGTACATTGATTCACCGAGCATGCCCTGA